TCAGAGGAGATTGCACAGACTAGTTTGAGCTTGATAGGATGGCAATCAGCCAGGCTGTACTTTAGGACCAGCTCAGTTCTCAACATTCTGGCAGAGTTTTAGCTGATGGTGTCATCTTTGGCCTTGGATCAACAGTCACACTCTTCAATCATTCTCCTGATTTCCTCTGACACTGGTCTTCCTTGCCTACTGGATAACTCTCAAGCACTCACCTGCTGGCTTCTGCTGCTCACTCCTCCTCGGCTGTCGGGAGCAAAAAGAAAAGGTAAGATACCTCACCTGCCTGCCCTCAAGGTTCAAGGTTCAAGGTTCTTTATTTGTCACATGCATAGTTATACAAGTATAACACACACTTGCTCACCACTACACCCCATCAGTCTGAGAAAGAAAAGGAAATGTTGGACATCTTGTTTCACTCATTCAGTCACACTCTGACACTCACCTGGAAAACCACACCACCCTTAGGAAACCCAGCTCTCCGCGACCCCAAGTAAACAATCATTCATCGCTCCTCTTTGCAAATATTGTGTGCAGACATGACTCATCACTGCCTCATAGTGGATCACACACCTGTAAAACCTCTCACTGCCCTGCTTTAACTACAGTGATCCCTGTGTTCAATGAAGTGTTGCTAATAAGAAAGAAACAGTCTATTGAGTCTGCTTTTGGGTCCTCTTTTGTATTCCTGCTGTCTGTCTGACACTCAGATGATTTTTAAACTGGGGCCTTGAACATGACAATAAGTTCGCTGTACTCGAATGGTCTCCATAGTCACCAGATCTCAATCAAATAGAGCACCTTTGAGATTTGAGAGATTAGCATTATGGATATGTAGCCCACAAATCTGCAGCATGTACATAATGCTATCATGTGAATATGGACCAAAATCTCTAAAGGAATGTTTCCAGCATTGAATGTGAAAGCAAAATTATGTCCAACCCTACTAGCAACATTTACCTAATAAAGTATATGTGTGTGTTGTCAGGGCTTTGATGTATGAATCTGCATCTCCACTGGGTGCACAAATGGCATTGCGAATGCACATGACTGCATTACTCTTCACAATTTATGACTTTTCTAGACAAAAAAAAGAACTCACACTTAGAAGATGAGTTGGTTTTTGTTTTTTTGTGGTGTGTGTGTGTGTAGCCAATAGATATATTGGACATGCCAAGTAAGTGTAAAATAAAATTCAACAAATAACAAATGTTTGAGGATTGCCAAGCCCTAAAGAAATTAAGTCCAATAAGGTTTCTCTTTCCTTTTTTTTTTTTTTTTTTTTTTTTTTTATAAATGACATCAGAAACAGCAGTATGCGACATTACGTGATGGCAGAGCTTCAGTTCATCCTTTGTCTTTTTTTTTTTTTTTTTTTTTTTTTTAATAAATAGGACAGGGGGAATGAATGAGAGAAAGAGGGGGAGAGAAAGAAAGAAAACCAAAGGGGAGAAGAGACGGTGAGAAGGGGGGGGAAGAGAGAGAGAAAAAAAAAAAGAACTCCTGGGTCACCTGTATGGAGAAAAAACAAACAAACAAACAAACAAACAGAGGAGACAGCAATAGGTTTCTCTTTCCTGGTGCTAGTAAACTCACAACTTTTCTAGTAATATCACATCCTTTCCTAATGGGACATCTTGAACGGATCACATACCAGCATGCACACACACATACATATACTGCTGAGACAACACATCTCAGCAGCTGTTGCCGGGAATAAGTTATGGGTCATGCCACCTCCCACAGTCCACTGTGGGAAAAAATTTTCAACAACACAGGAGAACAATGACTTTGAATGTCTGCCATCTTTCACCCTGGATATCATTTTAAGGTTTTCAACACTCACCAGTTCAGGGTGTTCAGCCAGCTGGCCACTGATGTTGTTCCATGGAGCCAATTTTATTACACATGACGATAAAGCGCTAGAGATTTTTTTTTAAAAAAAAGAGGGGGTAATTAACCTGTAATTTAACGCCATCTGCAGGACATGCGCTGCAAGTGTAAAATAAGTTTTGTTTTTTGTTTTTAATTGTCGGATTGAATGAAGTCCGTTGGGATTTTTGTGTATTAACAAAACAGGAGAAAACGGTAGATAAGTAGAAAAAATAACCATAGCTTGCGCATTACTTTTCAGTGAAGGTGAAATAATTCAAGGCTTTCTCCTTATGTTAAGGTGGACGTATAGCGTCGTTGTTATGGTAACCACAACACACCAGGAAAGTGAAAAGTCGGTGATTGGGTTTTGCTGAGATTGGCTGTGAAATTATTATTATTATTTTTTAATTTTAAAGGCCTGCGAAGACTCCAGAGATATAACAATAAGGAATGTGTTTCCTTGTTTATCTAACAAACACCAAAAAACCGGACACAGCAAGTAAACTGGCTAATAAGTAAGTTTCTGCATGCTTTAAATGAACAACACACTTGTTGTACACTTGTGCTGTATTGTTATGTTGTATACACCTTTTCGTATCACATTAGCCCATTTTTTTCCTATTTTTATGGCCTTCTCGTGTGCCTTAGCAGAATTTAGAAGCAGAAACTAAGCTGGAGCCGCTTAGCACCAGTTATAGCCGATAAGCTGTCATAATTTGGTCTTTTTGCGTTTTTCGAAAAGGTACGCTTTCCGTGTGACGTTTACAGGTCTAATAATATACATGATCTTAAAATTTTCTGAATATGTTTAGGACAGTGCTCACGAATTACTTTGTGGGATCTACGTTTAAAAATAATATTTATTGATTTTGATTTCCGGTGTTCACCGGCGGAAGCGTAATCCTTCAGAATAAAAGCAGGCTTTTGCATGTCTAATTCGGTGTGTTCCGCACATACAAAACTTCTAATCATCCATCCACCCTCTTCCGCTGATCCTTCTCGGAGTCGCGGTGGGGCTGGAGCCGATGGCAGCTATCATAGGGCAAGAGGCGGGGTACACCCTGGACAGGTCACTGTGAGACAACAGTGCTAGCCACTGCACCGCTGTGCTGCCCACTTTTAGTCTTATGTTTTATTTATTGGTAAGCAAGCATAGGGAAGGCCATTAAATGTTGAAACTGTGTGCCAGGACTTTGGTGTAACAAATATTTACATATTTTCGGATTCCTGTCCCACGCAGCCTGTAGGATACTAATGTTTGTTTAGTGTGTTTCTGTCCTCAATATTATTATGTTTTGATCCAATCACTAGTGAATCCATCCCAGGAGGAGACAGAATGCAGGCCTCAGAGTGCAGAAGTTGAAGTGGAAGAGCAAGATGAGGATAAGGGAATGGAGGAGGACACCCCTCTAGTGGCCGTTGCACCCGATGCTTCACTCCCAGAAAAGCAGCCCTCAGCCTCCATTGTGGTCTCTGCTAGTCCTGCCTCCCAGTGTTTAGATGAGGTAACAATCATGTGCATTGTTATGTTGTTATTTTGTGAATGGCATTTTTAAATTGTTTTCAGAAAGACAAACATCCCTATTTGATAGTCAAAGGAGCTTGCAAAGAAAAGCGTCTGGACGTCCAGACGCTTTTCTTTGCAAGCTCCTTTGACTACGATGACCTGGATGACTGAGAACCTTCACAGACACATCCCTATTTGATAGTTATAGTGGCAGATTTAACTGCCATGATTCAAAAGAAAAGAAAATAGTATCAGATATGATATAGATGCATGTATTTGCACAAGGCTAATGTTCAGGACTATTATTTCCTCCATTCTTTTGCAGTTTAATTTCTGATAACAAAGTATTGCACATACATAATGTGCGTTAAAGTGTTTGTCATAAACATTAAGTGTGAAAAAAAGTGAATATTTAGGAGTCATCCTGTGAATGAGCACAACACTTTTATTAACTTTATCATCACAGACAGTAAACAGACAGTAAAGTCACAGTCCCACAGTTTTATCATCTTCTGCGAAGCCAATATGAAATCTGCCTTTTATTTAGTGGCTTTATTGGTTCAACACCTCATAAACCCATTTGTTATGGGCATGCAGCACCTCATCCTGCATTTTTACAAGCCTCATTCAGCCTCGGACACTAGACGGCAGACACTTTCAAAGACACTCATGCGAAACTTGTATACATTTTTTGTATACATTCGTTTGAAAGGCGATTCCAGTACACAAGTGGAGCAGGCATGAAAAGGATTTTAAACCGACCGAACATTGAAATGTGCAACACAGCCATGGAATATTAATTTAATTTTTTTCCCCCAATATAAAAATTGCATATCTATTGGCACAACAGCTGAATATGAATGATAGAAAAGATCAATCTGATACACAAAGAATTCCAATTTTACGCAGATATTTACTATGAATGATCACAATTATGCCTAGTCCTTGTCATTACTCAAATGTCATCAATCATTAGACTCTGTACTGCATGACCATTGTATCATATAAAAGCTATCATACCTCTCAAAGTAAAATAAATACTATACACATCCTCATAGTGAAGCATTTCTTTCCCCAATCCTTCCCATTTACAGTGTGTATAAAATGAAATAAATGGTGCTATACAGTTTCCTAACATTAGATAGCAGTATTGTACAAGAAGAAGATTTTACAGATTATGGCATAGAGAAGTGTGCAGTAATTCGGTGCATCCAAAGCTTGGAAACACATTTTTTTTCCTCACTGCAATGTCCTGCTTCGTGGCTGCTCTCAAGAAGACTCTAGTTAAACATCAATAATGCAGAATGCACACACATACATGACTCAATAGAAATTTATTGGATGCTGCGTATTTATACTGGGATGTCTTCTGTGGTATGGGGTAATGATAAATCGGCAAGCTGCCCGAGAGCAGTGAGATAAATGCCAGAGAAGGGCCAAGTAAAGCTATACATTTATTACTGACTGTAATTTTTCTAACAGTTTGACTCTCCAGCTTGAAGTCTTTCGTAATGATTATCGGACCCACTCAAAACTGTATCATCAGCTCTCGTATACCTCACTTGGGTGGCTGCTGTTAATTACAAAATCATTTACAGCAGAGAAAGTGATAGCTCATTAGTTTTTACTACTAGTATGTGCTGTGCTGTGTTTCTATGCTGGGTTTATGGCAGGAGGCAGCAGGACAGAAAGAGAAAAAAAAATGTCAAAGACCAGTGAAAAAATCTCTTCTGGTAACCCTCAATTTAATGTTATGGCCCACGTAGGAGGCTGGCCTACACTGCATGGGAGTTTTTTTTTTGTTTTTTTTTTTTAAAAGAATTTTATTAGTCCATCATTGTTCATAGTCCATTGTCCTTTATTATCATCATTTTAATCCAACATTTTGAAGGCCACACTCACTAGAGTGGAAAAGTAATAGCACACTTAAATTTTTCACAATTATTGTTATCATTAATGCACCAAACTACTTATAGTCCTATGTGCACACGTACGCATGTGTAAATGTGTAAATGCATGACTACTAGTGAGTGTATGTGTGTTTGAGTCCTTATGTACTTGCTCTTCCATTTTCTTTGTCTTTGCCTGCATGACTGCACTCACCAATATTTACCTGTCCTTTTAAGGACCATAGTTCTTGGGCCGTATCATCATTTTGACAGTTTTAAAAGCCTGCCTGTAGTTGGTGGGGTAGTACTCGGTCGACATGTTGTGCCACGTTCCCCAGAAGATCCCGTTCCTGACTCCCTTGTATCGCTTGTGATAGTACTTCCCGTTGAGGTTGGCAGACATGCAGGCGTCAAACCACCAGCCGGAGCTGTAGTAGCCGCCGCAGTTCCCAGAGGGGTACATGTCGTTGTCGCGGTCGGGTGTGGAGAAGAACTTCTGGTCGTGGTTGAAGTGCTTGTTGAAACTGAGGGCGTTCCCAGCCGTCCCACTGTAATGAGACATTGATATATAAGGTGTGCTGTTCCAGTTTAAGGTGTTCTAGCAGCAACTGAGAGTGAGAAATATTGCATGTGCAGAAGTGAACCCTGTACCTGTATCCACTGACAGACAGACGGTAGCGTAGGTACTCATTGGCCACATAGAACTGATCATACTTTGCATATTCCCGGACACCCTCAAAGTCCTCTAGCTCGATACGCAGAATCATATCTTTTGCTTTTGTCAGCAAATGGATATGGTCATTGCCCAGCCAGAACTCACCTCTGCAGGATAGAAAGGAACAAAATGAGGCATGCTGATATATATATATATATATATATATATATATATATATATATATATATATATATTTATATATAAGCTCACATACTATGTTAGAATTTCAATTTTTTTTAGCAAAATGCATGTGTACTCCAATAGAGGAAAACAGGAGAGGAGGAGAGGAGACATTCTTTTAGTGGGAGTTTAATGCTGGATATTCAGACATGCTCAGAAGGTTGTTTTGAATAATTTGTTTTATATCTGCAACTTTATGATCAGTTGAAATGGGGTCAGATCATCTACTGTGGTCATCATTTCCCTAAGGCCTAGTCCACATGTAACTTGAGTCTTCTTTTGAAAATGGTGCCTTTTCTCCTTCATTTGCTAAGTAAATAAGTCTGCACAAAAAGATAAAAATGAAATGAATGGGGTTTAAGAGCATGCCAAACCAACAGGCAGCATTACCCTGACCTCAAAGCCATAAACTCTTGTTGGCCTTATGAGCCAAAAATGTTGTTTTTGTACTTGTGATCATTCACTACTCTCTACTCCCTGTATAAGGAGTTTTATGTAGAAAGCTAAATAGCGAGCCCAATAACAAAATGGAAAAATGGCTTCTGATAATATTTGCCTCATTTTCTCTGTCTTGTTACATCAACGCTGTCACACAGTTAGAGCAGAATAGATCAACATCGGTTAGATAAGTGACTAATAATGTGCATATTTCTGATAAGTGCATTGAACAGAGTGTAATTCCTCAAGTTGATGAATCTAAATACTTTGTGGCAGTTTATTTAGTGTTCTGCTTTCTTTTGTTTCTTTACTCTGTCTCTTTTACTTCAACGCAATGCATGATGGAATGCAGCACTTGGGTTTTCCACTTTGAATACTTTGGGTATAACAGTCCTTCCTGTACATACAACAGCACTACAAATATGGCAGACTCACAGTGTTATCATGTGGACCAAAGACCAAAACACACAGGAAAAAGTTCTGATCTTTTTTAAATATCTCTATACGTCCCCTTAGTTTTATGCATGATAATCAATCACTGATAATGAAAACAGGTGTTGAACAAACAGTGATATAGAGAACAGGTGTGCATCATTAGCTCCTAAGTACTGAGGGATTAGACTCTCTCAGGTTTTGGTAAAAGTATTCTGTAGCACATGACATTAAATGAGCTCTAATTCACTGGTAAAAGAACAGTATAGATGAACAATTTCCTACTAGCAAGACAAAAAAATAAATACATTGAACAAACTGCTTGTTTTTGTGTATTCTTTCAAACTGTATAGCTTGCAGCTAGTTAGATGAGCATGTGGTAGGCTCTAGTGTAATGAGGGTCCAGAAAATAGTTGAGTTTGACTTAATGCAGTAGTGTGTAGTGCTGACTTAAAATGATACAGGCTTGACATATAACAATGCATGCTAATTAAAAAAGTTGTCCAACCTTGGCTGGACCTGCTTAATGTCACTATGTCATATGACATTAAAAAGAGTTTTCAGTGTCAGTCGTTGCATTTGCAACCAGATACATTATGTAAGGAGTTTGGTTGCAAGCTGGCAGCGTAAACTTTGAAGCTTCTCTGTGAACAAAGAACCTTGCTCTCACTAGCTTAAGGCTTCACTGATACACATGATGCGTGGCACATTTCGTTATTCTAAGAATGTCTTTCAAAAGGGGATGTTTTTGTTTCTTTTATCTGTTGCTTCTGACAGCTAATGCTATTTCTATGGGAAAAGTGTATGGATTAAGCCTTTTATTGGGTTTTTAAAAGGTTTATACACATTCAGATTCAGACTGTAAACAATAACTGGACAGATTCCTGTACTAAGAAGCAGTTTTTGGGCTTAACGTCTGGTAACTTTGAGTTTAATCCTGTGTTTTCAGTATTGCAAAAGCAGTTTGAGTCTTACTATCACCATGGTAACTTGTGCTGCAGACCTAACCTGCTCCACAACAGGTTATGGTCAAGATAAGAGGTCCACATGTATGAAATCACCATCTACTGACCAATCAGATCCTTGGAAAATAGGATCACCATTCCTGGAGGATCGCTTAGACCTTGGTGCACAGATAGTAAGAGGGCCTAAAGGTTTTTCAAAAGGATCTAGGCATCTAGGATCTTTTTCTTTACTCGATGAACCTCAGTAATAAATCTAGATTCTTAAAAGCAACGTTGTTCCTTCACTTTCTTTTACCTTCGCTGCAGACCATAGAACAATAAACCATTTTATTGTTCTATTAGCCTTAATATATTGTTGGGGAACATGGCTCTCAGACATCTAGGCCTCCAGGTGAAAGAATAAGGCAACCACTGTAGTATATACACATCTAAACACTAATTTGAGTGAATGCGTTCATATATTGGAAAGCTCTGGGTTTACTTATGCAGTTCATAACCACCGTTGCGTGACTGCTTAGGCTGATTGCTGATGTTTGAATAAGTGAAGCAAGATAAGGAAAAGATATCCTGGATATGCTGAGCATGCTTTGTCGTAAATTATCAGAGGAATGCCCAATTGTGGGGGAGGAGGGGTAAAGAAAATAACTAACCTGAGGTTCCCAAAGCCTTTCTTATACTCAGCCCAGGTGCGGTTGAAGCTGATGGACCCATTGAGGCGTTGCTGTATCACAGTCCAGCCACCTCCGAAGGACTCCATGTCACAGAATACCTCAAACGTCCCATTGCGAGCGTCAGGTGTCACACGATATATACCGTTCCTCCTCACTTCCAGCACATTGTATTCTGAACAGTCCCGAGGGGCTAAGATGACTGCATGGGTGGCAGTGAGAAAGAGAGAAGGGAGAGTAGTTATAAGCAGATGTTACTGGATGATATTCAGTAATATTTTCACTTTGGTCTGGCATTGTTCCCTGAGACAGTAATAGAAACAGGCCCTGAGGCTGAGGAAGGCTGGAGAAAAGAAAATGAGATAGGTTAGTAGGAAATCCAGTGTGGAATTTCTCATCCCTGCCTTCATTTAAGAGGAATGCATTCAAACACAAAAACACCCCTTCACCACATTCTTTTTGCCTGTCAGACATCTTCCCCTAACCATTTATTATGTATAAAATAACATTAAAAACAAGCTGATTGTGAAATATGTATTTCACAATATATCCATGCTTATCTGAAATATAGTATTTAGAACCATTGAAGAAACAGCCTCTGCCAGGGGATAAATTCCTCTAATCTCCCCACGTGCTACAACACAGGTCCATTTTGTATACCTTCAATGCATTCTGAGCACTTTTTTTTTTACCTGGCCACTTATTCGTCTACCTTTTCCTCCCATCCCTTGTGTCGCATTGCAGGCTACCGAATCAATCCAAAACCAAGGTCCAAAGACTCCTGTCAGTTAGGATTTTGGAAGTGAATGGAACAGTCTTGTTAAAACGTGGGAAAGTGTAAAACTGGATTAGAGAGCCATACCCCCTCCATGCACACTGGCACCTTGGGTCTAAATTGTCCTGACACTGGGCAGGCAGCATGTTGGACTCCTTTTGAGTGTTAGATGCGCTCCATTGGTGATACAATGTTCTCATAGTCCTTAATCTCTCTAGAGGTGCAGTAGATTATAATAGTGCTGGGGTAGGCGGTGCTCATACCCCAGCAGTAGTACTGGTATAGGAAGGAAAACAGGTGTAGGGAGTGAACAGTGTTTGTAGAATGAAAAATGCATGTTGCTGTAGATAGTTGTATTTCTATTTCAAAAGGAACTGAACTAGCAGATGGAGCACAAACATTTATTTTGCTCTCTAAATAAGCAACTTCGTTTTCTGACAACATTACACTTGAATGCTTCAAGTGCAAAATAGCTGCAGATGGTAAATCACTCCATATGGGAGTCGATCGCAAGGTTGAAATGTATCCTTGTCACCTTAACAGCTCGGTCGGCATTTGGCAACAAAAGAATTGACCCGTAAATTCTTTCAGTGTCACACTCACTTTCAGCGTCTGACTGCAGTGTCGCCACTTTACATCTTCTTTTCTATTTGTCCCCATCTATCTGACTGGGCAGTCAGTGTCCCGAGACAGACAAGAGTGATCTCCATCTCAGTACGTCTGGCAATGTGCCTGACCTAAATAACTCTAATATCAGCCACTTACTCGTTCCTGAAAAACTCTTGGCTGATGGGCTGTCTATGTGACTGTTGAGGAAAATTAATAGCTAATTGGTCTGGGACAAGGAAAGTGATATGTGTCATTTCTGAAAATGATCCCAAAACAGTGTATGTTTACAGTAAAAGGACAAAGCCCGCTAGGGGATGTACTCATTTCTGAGTTGTTGTTTGTGGACAGCAGAGAAACAGCGTGAGGTAAAAGCCTGGTACCCACATTACTATTCTAACCTTGACAACAAAGGCCCTGTAAACTCATCGAAGCAGCAATTTTAGCCTATGTCATGACTTTTCCCCGCAAATCCCACAGCAGTGAGAAGTCAGACAAAGCACTGGAACATGACTCATATGTTGTTTTGCTCTGAGGGGAAAGTTCAAACAATTTTACCAGAGCAAAGTTTCCCCATTCTTCTTCTTTCTTACTCACTTTTTTGACTGGCAAGTCGACTGACATAGGCTGATGAGTCCCACGCCATATTGACTGACATGCTTTTTATAGATGACATTTTGACAGACTGATTTGACTCTTGGCGCTTTGCCTGTTTGACTTCAGACCACACAAGAGATTCTCATAAAAGGAAGACAATTATTATCAAGAAGTATGCCTCATGTCAACTGAGGAAATGTGTATCGAAAGCGATAGCATACTACTGCTTATACTACTTCAGTTTTGATGGAAAGAAACTAAAAAAAACTGTGCTTCCCTTATGAAGTTGCCCGACACCAAATTTCCAAACGAGCAGTTCTTGATGGAGGACTGAACATCTATTCTCATTTTGTATGATTGAGTTAATGTAGCTGAACAGGGACATGAATTTCTATGCTTCCTGCAGGAGTGAAAGTGAAGATCAGTGCTTGTTGCAAAAATGGAAATTGGCAAAATGAGCGAAAATGAACGCTTAGAGCACTTAGAGTGATAACAGCATCTTGACAAATGTAGTTTTACTCCCTATTAATGGTGAAATTGCAATTCTACATTGGGTTAAATGATGGTTACGGTCCTCACAAAGTTGGCATTTTTTAAAATTTGTCAGTGCAGTTTGTGTAAAAGGCCTACAGCAATTTTTTAACCTGCCAGAAATGCCTTATGTAGCTTTAGTTAAAATGCTAGATAGTTTATTTTTTGCTTCACTAAACACTTTTGACATTGTGGTAAATAACCAGGAAACTCTTATCAGTGAAAGTCTGTTTTACTCTGCCCATTAGGAGCTCGCAGAGGAACATGATCAGCATCTGGTTTGAAAGTTTTAAGACAAGAAAAATTCTAAAAGATGTTCATTTAGCAACTTTTGGAGTAACTTTTTATCGCGATTTCTAATTTGAGTGATCTTGTGAAACACCCTAACACAACGTATTGGTCGCTTTCCTCAGTAACAGCAGCTGTTTCTTTTCTGCTACATTTGGATGGAATTCAGACACCATTAGGCACGGTCTCCTGAGCTGAAGTCGGATGCTTATCCAGTTCTTGACCTGAACAAAGCAGATAGATGTAGAAAGACAAGTGCTACTGACCCTGGGTGCCATCTGTGACTACTGTAGTGTCAGGAAAGCCGCCTTCATTATTACTTGTGGTATTGGCAAGAGATAATGAGCGCTTGTCTTTTTATGCAGTAATGAGCATCCAAGAGCATGACCTCCAGAAGGAGGCAGGGAGGGAAGCAGAGAGAAGGGACTAGGAAAGAGAATTAAAGAGGGGGAGACAGTAAGAGGTAGGGCAATAGAAAAAGAAATATGAAATAGAGGAAAAATGAGGAGAGGGTATAGATGCTTTGAGGATAAATGCATAAGGGAGGGGGAAAATGATCAGGTTTGATGGAGAAAGAAGCAAGTTGGAGAAGCAAACAGAAGAGAAAGGGATGGGATTCCCTTCACACCACTGTTCCAGCTAATCTGCTTAGAAATAAGCTCACATCTGTTTTCTACATAAAAGCCCCAATATAGTGTAACATTCATAGTGAAGTACTGGATAGTATTTGCTTTCTGAAAGTGCCCTGCATTTCTACTGTGCTCGCATCCAAAATAGCTTTTACATCAATGTAAAGTGGGGTATTTGTTTTGCTTAGCTAGTCTGCAACCCCCACTGTTTCTAGATACAATATCGCAGGCTTGTTTAAACGGTCATAAAACTTCCAAGCAGGGAAGCACAGATTAATCTGCAAAATATCGATATCAGCTAGTGTTGGTTTGTTGGCTGATATCTCCAAGTACAACAGCATCTACTGGTGTCAGTGATATTCATCTATTTTGCTCGAATCAATTTCATGCTGGCTAATTGTTCAAAGATAGCGTGATGCTGTTACCCTTTAAAGCATTTCACTGTCGATGTGTATCGGCCCAGAGTTTCACTATGTGTGCATTCCTACTTTCAAGTGTGGGTCTTTTTCTGCCTTCCCTTTTTGAGTTTGTGCGTATGGAGAGTAGTGAGGGGTCACTTCGGTTAGTTATGTAAGAGTTAAAGTGAATTCTCACTTTGAACCAAGTTCTATTGCTTCACTCCAGTGCAGTATGTGCTCAACTTAAAGCTATTTCACTCTGTCCATTTGTGCACTGGCTACTCTGAACCAGCCACTCCACTCCAGTAATGTAATCAATACAGTAACCTTTTGGTACGCATTAAGATGATGGAAAATTCCATTTCTCAAATCTAGACTACACCTAAATATATAATATTCTTCATATCAGTAATGGAGGAGAGATGTTGCAACAGACCAGTGAGTGTGGTTGACAAGGACACTGGCAACATAGATTTCACTTTTCATTTCCAAGGAAGAAAGGTCTTGTTGGGTGAAAGTAAACACCCTGACTCTGATTATTTTTGAAGTTGATTATAATGTCCACTCAGGAATGATTGAATACAGCCTATGCCAGAAAATATATCCCCCTGCAACCCTGAACTGCTAAACTTATTTAACCAACAGGGTTTTATTACAATAATAACATCTTTTTTTTAGGAAATAAAAAATTGAAAAGTGCACTCTTGATCATGCTCAGAAGGATTACAAAAATGTATGAGAAGAACAGAAGAGAAAAGGGGGGCGAAACATGAAATGGCAAAGATATAACAGAATAAAACATAACAGAAAAACACATTCTCTTTTAACTGAAAGCCCTTGTCACTGGGAAGATGGAGAGGGCAGATCACAAGATCAGATGAAAAATAACAGGACCAAAGGAATGGAGGGTAAGTATAACAATGTAGAGAATATTATTATTATTAATTATCTTAATAAAAGTAAGCTTACACTGAGGGCCAGTCTGGGCTGGACATTCGGTGGTACAGCTGGAGCTGAGCTTGTTGACCACTCCGGTGATGTTCTCCACCCGCCTGTCCACTATAGCCTGTACATTCTCCATGTTAAGAAGGTTGATTCCCTCCAGTCGACCCTGCAGAGCTGAGATTTGGTTCCTGGCATTGCGCAGGCTGGCTGACATCCTATTCAGCTTCACCTGAGAAAGGCCAGAGCAAGCGTGAAGGAAATTATTTTTGGCACGCACTACAAAGCAGGCAGATTACCGAAGTCACCAGCCTCCTTCATTGTTTCACCAGCCAATTTGAATTTTAGAATGGAAACAAAGTCTGCGTTACGATTGGCTGTCTGCCAAACTGGCTGTGAGAGTCAATAAGCTTACCAGACGGCAGAAATTTACTGTCACTGGGCTGGTGTCTAACTCCGATTTTCCCACCCTGCTTATTGTACCAGAAATTTTCCCTGGCGGAGTGGCGCCAGGTAGGACTTTGCGTGTCTTTTGACATCTGGTCAGTTTGCATTCCAGCTGGGCGCATCTGACTGGAAGCATGAAACGCGCTTCATATCAGTGTCCCCTAACACTTTCACAAAGCTGCTAAAGATCTGGCTTTCTGACAATTTGCAGGGTTTTAATGGAACAGAGGAAACAGAGGAAATGGTGCAGTGCTACTATTTCACATGTTGTACACACCTCTGTGCTCTACAGATGTAGCAGAAAATGCACGCTGTATTGAACTATACCAAAACAATTTTAGATCAAGGTGAATAAATGATAAATTTGAGCTCAACCAAGTGTATTTGTAAGGTAAATGATTTATTCCTTGGTTCAGTCTTATATCTTTTCCTGTAAGTGTTAACTTTGCCTCTTACCTGCATCTCCTGCATGTTTTGGCTCGGAGCAGGTTTCCCAAAAATTGAACCCGGTCTTGCAGCATCCACAGTAGCTCCAGGAACCATCCCATCTCCCCTCTCCTCTTGGCTGGATCCACCTTGCACCTCCTGCCCCGTCACTTTTTCCCCGGCATCCCCCTGAATCGGGATCTGGTCTGCCTGCTGGTGTCCAAAAACTCCGCTGCCCCGTGCCCCACGGCACTCCTGGCACCCGCTTTTCAGCTTGTTCACTACCTCCTTCAGGCTCTGCAGTTCCTTCATCGTCTTCTCCAGCAGCCTGAACTGCTTGGGCAGCTGGATGGTGAGGGGAGGCAGAGTGATCTGGTAAGGGCAGTCCTCCCCGTCCTCTGCCCCAGAGCTCCCACACTGGCCCATAGGTCTAAGTTTGACAGGGCAAGAAGTGGGAGTACCAGACTCAAATCCCAAATGGTAGGATCCTCTAGAGTCCCATCGCTGGTGAGAGTTACCAGGAAAGTCTGCTGCCTGGCTGATTCTGAGTAATAAGGTGCCTGTAAGCAGGAGACCAGCACAAACGCAAAGTCCAATTGTCTTCATCCTTCTGTGAGATTTTTAAATAAGTGTGTGTAAAGAGAAAGCGTCTGTGGCTGCCTCTGATATGAACTTGGAGTGTATAGTAGTGTTTTTGTATGTGTGTGCATGTGTGTGTGCCTGCAGATGTCCCGTGTAAGTGTGTGGATGTGTGTCCAGTATCTTATTTGGTGTAAGAGAGTGTGTGCATGTGTATGAGTGCAGTCTGCAGGAGGGAAAGAGCGCAGGGGAACTGCCGCTGCCTCAGATAGCTGTGTCATTAATATCAGGACAAGTGAGGGAGGGAGGGAGGGAGGGAGAGAGAGGTAGAGAAAGGGATGTGAGAGAGGGAATGTGCTGATTTTCAGAGGATGGGAGGGGCAGCACTATTGCGTAATGCAAAACACCATATCAACAGCACTGTAAAAAAAAAAAAAAGATTGGTGGTGGTTGGTAGATAGAGAAAGAGGCAGAGTCCTTTGCCTGCAGTCCATGCATGCTGCCATCCTGCCATATTCTCAAGTCAGCTCATTTCCCCGAAGAGCAGAATGACTCAGTCCACAGGAACTATTCACTCACTGCTCTTTTTTTTTTTTATGCTGTTTTTTTTCCACAGTTTTTAACATTTAAAGACCCCTCGTTGACCTGGTTCAGATTCCAAAGCGTTACTGAAAATACTTGATAACATCCACTGCGCTAAAGTCTCTCAATTGTCTCCGGATGGGCTCAGTTCCTGTATATATATGGTTTAGTACCAGAGAAAAGGTTTGTTTCAGTTTGTTTAAGCTGGCGATTTCTTTCACCTACTGAGCCTGCTTGGGATCTTGCAAATTGAGCATAACATTCATTAGAGACTTTTATAAAATGAGTTTCACCTGAATGCTGAGATTTTCTGAACATTGAGTGTGTACTGATACGCTGTCGTGATAAGATTTAATTTTTGCACTATAATACACTTGCAGACTACAAACCTACATTAACATGAAGAAAAACATTTCAGTTCAAATAAGACATGGCACTAGAGAGCTTCTATAACCATATCTTAAAGGTGCCCTTTGGATTGTCCTTGGACACAAATTCAAATACATATTCATATTTAGCGTTTCTTACTAAAGCCAATTGTTTGTACCTGTCCTGAGTGCTTGTTCGATGACTGGACAGCTGCAGGTCCCCCTGCCTACACAATGTTCAAAGTCAGACAGCGCGCTTGGTTTAAACTTGTTTTTCATTGTTGCACAACTATTTCTATGATTTCCCCAGTACTCTGTTTCCACCTTTCTACCGGTTAGTTAGTTATTTATTTTGGTGTTCAGTTGCTGGTGATTATGAGTCTGGAGCATTTCTGACACAGTGCTTTTATGTGTCATGTCAGGAAACGTTTGGAATAGCTGTTCAATTCTTTTTCTCTAGTGTGGCGAAAATATGGTAATGAAAAGCATGTTTTATGTAACAGCAGGCACGTTACACGTGCAACATTTTACTAAGAACAAAACAGCTTTTTTTTAACTGAAGTAGCTTCACTTCCAGTCAGGGTGAATGTGATTAACTGAAGGTGCTCTTTATTTTACCCACTTAATGATTCATCAGGAAGAAGGTCTAGTTTTTCAATGAAGGAAAACAGAAATGTTATAAATACAAAATCAGGAATTTGCAAGGCTTAAGTTTAATGAACAATGCCTTGGCTGGCACTTCAGCAATATGTTTAGGTATTTATGTTCTCATTGAAAACTTTACCTTGTCTCCTGTAGTGGTGGTGATCACAGAGTAACTTAAGATACACTCCTACCATAATACATCCCTATGATAACGATGGTGTCGCAATACAGTGATTCAGTAGAAATTGTCATTTTCATTGTCATTTTATTATTCAGTTTTGTGTACAGGGTGGGCCATTTATATGGATACACCGTAATAAAATGGGAATGGTTGGTGATATCAAAGTCCTGTTTGTGGCACATTAGTATATGTGAGGGGGCAAACTCCTCAAGATGGGTGGTGACCATGGTGGCCATATAGAAGTCGGCCATCTTGGATACAACTTTTGTTTTTTCAATAGGAAGAGGGCCATGTGACACTTCAAACTTATTGGTAATGTCACAAGAAAAACAATGGTGTGCTTGGTTTCAACGCAACTTTATTCTTTCATGAGTTATTTACAAGTTTCTGACCACTTATAAAATGTTCAATGTGCTGCCCATTGTGTTGGATTGTCAATGCAACCCTGTCCATGGTAACAGGTCGCTGTTACCATGGACTTGTTGGTCCATGGTAACAGCGTTGGATTGCTTAGTGAGGGCGAAACTTTAGAAACTTTGATACGATGACTGCACACAATTCAATTCAAGTGTATTTATATAGCACCAAATCACAAGAGCAGTCGCACTAATTTATGACATTACCAAATTATCATCTACAGAGGAGACCAAACTTTTTTATTAGACACAATCATATTTTATTCGTTTTTATTTATTATTATTTATCTGGTGAAGCAGACAACAGCTAGCTATCGGGCTAACAAAGCTTGCATTTGTGTGAAACACCATTAGCTTGTATGCCCAGTGCATAATCCAACAGTGTCAAAGCAGAAATTAGATTTAAGAGTTAGGTTTTATATTCCTGACAGCTGAAGAAAGCGAGTGAACTGCTATCCGTGGAGGTTTGATGTGTTGAGTTGTATTGGGCTGTCACTTGCACTCACTAGTGAAGAATTGGACCATGTCAATAACTAGGTTATACTTTACTAGACACACACAACACTCACTATATTATAAACTCTTTACAAAAGGATTTCACTAGAGAAAACGAATTTGAAGATCACCTCCAAAACCGAATCCCTTAAAACAGCGGTCTGTCACTCTATTACAATAAATGTGTAGGAATGGAGCTGAATGAATCTAACCAAACTGCAGACATCCATGAGCTTGCGCATGGTTTTTGTGTTTCAAAACTGCTATGAAGTCGCCAATAATGGATTTATGAATGGGTTTATATTGTTTATTTAAATATGTAAACTAGAGATGGCACGATACCACTTTTTTATGTCCGATACCGATACCGATATCATAAATTTGGTTATCTGCCGATACCGATATGAATCCGATATAGTGTTTTTTAATCAACAAAACTGTTTTTTAAATATCTTGCCGCATTTTGTATAAGTTCATACTCAAGTTTAAAACAACAACTACACTAAAGCTATTCTGTTATACCTGTATGCAAAAAAAATTATTTCATAGTTCAGCAATACTGATCAATCTAATAAACTTAAACCTACACCATCCTCCCTATTCTGGTATTTGAAAGAGTACTTAGCATAAATATTAAGCAACCTAACTAATAGGGTTCCAACTCCCAGCAACAACAAAAATAAATAAATAAAAAATGGGGAACCACCCCTCACGCTCCACCTCATGATGCTTAATCGACGTAATCAACCTTAATTTGATGCAATGTGAAAAAAATGCACAGAAATCAATTATTTTTCAAGAAATATTAAATAGATTCAACATCTTTCTTCAACAGAATTGCAGACTGCACAGATGGTACCTTCCCAAAGGAAAAAGTACTATAGCTTACTAGGGTATATATATTAGACTTAATAGTTACTATATACAGTAATGGACTTCTATTCATTTTGCATCAAATTAAAACTTTGGGTGTCAGATAATTATTTATTAAAAGCTCGACATTTTAAATGAGAATAAGAAAGAAAAGTCTGTCTTTGTGCCCCCTTTTCCCTGTTAATGCCCTATCGGCCCCCCTGGCTAAACTTTGCTAGATCCGCCCCTGCACAGTTACCAGCGTCAGCTATGTAGAAAAAGATCCTCGAGTAGAAAGTAATATTAAATACATTCTAACAACAGCTGATCAAGCTTAAACGTGCTTCTGTTGTTCAGCCGCTGGTTTCCTCTTTCTGGTGCAAAGTGGGCCAAAAACAAACCAGAGAGACGGACTCGCGACAGAAAAGCCGATCAGCTGATCATTAAGCAGTTTCATGATTGAAGTAGCAGCAAGAAGAGGCAGTCGCTTGTTAAGCTTAACGCAGGAATGCTTTACAAACATTCAGAGATGGACTTACACACTTGCTTTACTTCTCTCGGGATAACTTTGTCGGAGATGAAATGCCGGGTTGCTAGCAAAGCTCCAAATGCTATCCAGACCACCACAGGTCCCGCATGCCACAGCCGCTCTATCACGTGATGCACACTGCTCCGACGTGCTAACGTTCTGAGGTGAGTTACGGTGTGTTGCAAGTTTTGTGAGGTCCTTTCGTGATATTTAATGGATCGATTACATTTTTTTATTTTTCTCCGATATCCGATCCAGTAATTTAGGTCAGTATCGGACCGATACCGATACGTAATATCGGATCGGTCCATCTCTAATGTAAACAGATCATGACGCCTTTCTTAATCAGCAAATGAACAATACACTTGCTTTTGTATGTAATGAAAAAATGGTGCTGTGGTTATTTTCAGTGGTTTTTGTATGGTCATAATTAATATTGCAGTCATACTTCATCACAAACATTACTCATGAATGAGCCTCCCTCCTGGAGCATCTTATAGAAATTATTAAGCAATGAAAGCCATTAGCATGAACTCTGTAGGGCTCACAGTGACTACATGAGGCTGGATGCTTGGAGGCTTCTTTTTGTGGGTTCATGAACTTGGCACTGATTGTTTGTTTCTGGGACATAGCTATGGTTTCAATTTCTTATGTGATTCATAACCACAAAATGTGCAGTTGTTTTTTCTTACTCATTCTGGAGCATTTTTTGCCTCGTTACATGGCTTACTTCTGCAGAAGTGATGTTATGTTTCTACAGAATAAGTTTAAAACCTGGCACTCCAGGAAGGAAAATGTTCCTGAACAAAACTTCTCCTGACAAAGAGATCCAGCTTGGCCGTAGGCTCCACTCCAGTTCAGTCAGTCGATATGAGGAGATGACGGTAGAAATAGAGAGCGCGAGATCATGTCATGGAATTCATGGCTTTGCCTCGTAGCTATTGTCATTATTTTTCTCCCTGAGGGTGCAGAGTATTAAAGCCCACAGTGTCTTTTTGTTACACACTCCACATACCTGCTGCACTACACACTCGTATTCCTGGAACATTTTCCTGCTGTTCTGCAGCACAGATCACATGCTCGCGTATGTGTGCGGAGGTTGGGGGAAAGATGGACAGCCACTGGATGTGCGTCCTCATGCCTGAGTAAATATCTTCCAGTAATTGTCTCTACCTCACTTCAGAGATGCTTTGCCACATGTGAGCCTCATGCACCCACCCCTTAAAAGCCTCCAGTACTCTCCGCTGCTCAAGATAAGTCTTGGCACCAGAATTAGAGAGTCTGCCTGGAAGCGCTTCAGGCTGCTTCTCTCAGATAAATGCCCAGTTTACAGCCAGGATGTTTGTTCCATCACTGGTGTCATCTGTGCTGCTGACAACACAAATGGCTGTGTAGAATTTAGCGTCAGATCCTTTTTTAAAGTAAATTAGTTTCAATGTCGCAATTAAGTCATTATTAAAGAGTAGTTCAAGACGTATTTTGGGATGATCCACCTGCCACAGTTGTAGTTACACTGATATGACCTTGGGACTGACCCCACCCCCTTCCAAAAACCAGAAAAACCAGAAAAAAACAACATTGTAATAAATCATATTAACCAGAGAGTCCTAATCTAAATCATTCACAACATTCATATCTTTGTCCTTTCGGACCTTGGAACGTGGTTGGGTACTTCAAGCAATTTTGACAATAGCCAGATAAACAATTTAATAGGATGAATCTGAAAACATAATCGCCTATCCCTAATGTTTGTAGTCGAGGTGAGATATCAGCCCACGTGCGTGTATATATATATGATCAAAACGTTTGTGTGTGTTCATTGCCGTTAGATTACTTGCTACACAGTCCGACCTGAGATATCCTCAGTTCTGCAGCTCTTTGATACAGACAAGGCTATCCCTCATTACTCCCTCCTCTCCACCAACCTGGTTCTAAAGATAAGCCCGGAACAACACCTGTCCTCTGTTTCTATCACCGTTACACACACACACACACACATACAACTCCCTTTGTGAGGAGAGAAATTTCACAACTCTTGCAGATTATTTCCCTTTCGCAGTGCTCTTGACCTGATATCTTCATCTGCGCTGTGTTTTGTTTTGCTGGTTTCCAAAGTTTCCCAGCTGTGTATTTTGTTTTTATCTTAAACCTTTATTAATCATTCAAGGATTGATTGTCTTCAATTGCTTGTAGTTATCATCATATATGGGCCATTTTCAGTGAATGCTCTTGATCTTTTGAGATTGGCCATAGTTTGATGTTTGTTTGATTTTTCTTACTGATCTCGATAAAGTGTTCTGATTTTTTGATATCTGCTGCGGCGATAAAGGTTTATTCACCCCAACTCGGGATGAATCCTTTTACGGATATCGGGAGGTTGCCCTTTGTTGTGGTTGATCTCAGTTTTTTTCTTTTTCGTTTCATTTCGGACTATTTTGATGTTTGAAGATGGAATCTGTTGATTTAGCTTTCAACTTCTTGGACTTAATTTGTCACAAGATATATTAAAGAAAACTGCTTACTGGTCATAAGATTTGTTTTTTGTTCTGTTTTTCTGTTTCCTAGCAGTTTTATCTTTTTGGATATTGAATCTGGGGGGAATGGGGACAAGAGGTTTCTGCAGGATGTGATATTCTATTAATTTGTCCTTTTGAACAGGCAGCTCTGGGTGCAACCAGATTTTCTCTGATAATGACAGCTGAGCTGGCAAACCCTAGCAGGAGGGTTTGAGCCCGAACAGTCTAAATGCTGTTGTAGCTCCGATATCTTTCTTCATTCTTAATTTCATGATGATGTTAAACTAATATTCTTTTTGTGTTCTTTAGTTGTTGTCAATGGGCAGAATCAGCCAGACCAAAGCTGCCAAACTGAAATCTACCTACAAGCTCCTCCATGATACCTTGAAGAGGTATGTTTGATAAACCAGGTTTTTTTTTTGTGTGTTCTACTTTGGAATCACTTTTTGACTACAGTGACATTTCCTTGGGCAAAACGAGCACTTTGTCAGATCCAGTTACGCTTCACTTGTTTACCCTTTAAAATCTTCGATGTACTTTCAGAAGAGAAGAGCAGCTTTGTTTACGTTAATAGAGAATTGTAGAATGCAGGTGAGGAAGTGTGAAGAGGTTACAGACACTACAACTGCTGTATAGGCTGAAACACTTGTCAGTGAGAGAAAATCTTCAAGACATATTTCTTTTCCACTGTTATTGTATCCTGATTTGAACACTAGTTCTGATTAAATTTAGTGCTGTCCTCGTTAATCTCGTTAAAATGACGTTAACGCCATAACCTCATAACGCAGCAACGCTGCACGACGTCAACGTGTTAGCGCAGTTAGCTCGTTAACGCACGGGGTGATCCACGTTAACCCGCTAACGCTGACAGCACTAATTAAAACATTTCTACGTTTAGTTTCTTGGGACAGCTGATTATGCATGTTGAACTTTATTAGCTTAAAAGTAAATCAGTGACAAAACTAATTACGCCCCAGGATTTAACAGCTTATAGACCCACCTTTAGCAGTAATAACTTGAAGCAGTCATTTTCACAATGACTTTATCAGCCCCTTACATCGTTGTGGAGGGATTTTGGCCCACTGTTCTTCACAAAATTACTTCAGGCACTGATTTATGCATAGCTCTCTAAAGGTCCCATCACAGCACTTTAGTCATGTTGAAGTCTGGACTTTGACTGGGGCTTGAGATTTTTGACCTGTTGCCCAGGCCCAGTTTAAGCAGTTTAAGCCAAGCTTTGGCTGTCAAACGGCCAAAAGATTTTTCTCTAGAAACTTGTTTTTTTACAGAGGAGTTCATGGTCCACTCAATAACTACAAGGTGTCCAGTATTATGTACTGTAGCTGCACAAAAAGCACAAATCATCACCCTTCCACCTCCATGCTTGACAGTTGGTATGAGTTTGTGCTTTTCTCCAAATGTGGCTCTGTACGTTTTGTTCTCATCTGTCCAAAGGGCATTGTTCTCATATTCTTATGATTGTTGTTCAGATTGAGCTCTACAAACTTAAGCAATGCTGCCTATGGTGTCCTCCTGGCAAGCCTCCCAAACAAGCCATGCTTGTTCAGTCTTCTTCTAATTGTGCTGTCATGAACTTTTAACAGGCCTGCTAACTGAGGCCTGAAGCTGTTCGGCTATTTTTTTCCACTGGATTCTCTTTACAAATGATTGTGTATAATAATTTCTGATCAGACCCATTAGGTTTATATAGATTTAAAGCTCACTTATTCACAAAGAGTCGGCACAGCAGGTTGCGTTTTGTGATTTGGCAGATACCCTTCTTGATGCAAACCTGAAAGGGATTTGTGTCTCCTCCTGTGATCAAACTGAGCCTATTTTGCTTATTAGGTGAATATGTAAACCACTGCACTATGGACCTAGGTTTAGAAGGATTTAAATGGATTTTGCTAGCTTAAAACAAACAGCATTAATAACTGCATTATTAACTGACAGCAGAAAACTTGGCATGTCCTCGTGGAGATTATGTGATACTGAACTGATATTTACTGTTTAATGACAAAATAAAACCACACATTTAAATCACTCTTCCATACAACAGTGCCCAGGATTCTGAAATCCACCTTTTAGAAGAGGCAAAGAGGTGTCGGGCTGAGTTGAAGAGGTTTCAGGTGGAGTTGGAGAGGATAGAGGAGAAGAGCACCTCTGAGGAGCCAGGAAGTGAGGTCAATGAACTGAGGCAACAGCTCCTTCAGGCATGCAATGAACTAAAAGCAGCTGAGGAGAGAGAATATAAGGCACAACACCAGCTAAAGTGGTGAGTGTATATCTGTGTGTGAGTGTGTGTGTGTGTGTGTGTGTGTGTGTGTGTGTGTGTGTGTGTGTGTGTGTGTGTTCATTTACACACACTGTTACTACAATCAGCGAGGCTACACGTTCAATTTTCAATCAGGTATTGAATCAAACGCCAAATGAATCAAACAAAGACACAGGAAGTTACATATGCACACCTACGCAAAATAGTGACACACTAGTAGGAAGCAAGAGGGTAAAAGGAAAAAAACAGAAATGAAACTGCAGTGGTGAAGAGAGAAGTGGACACACAAACTGACTGGAGGATACACACAAACACAAGCGTGCTCACATACACACTGCACACACCCGCAGTAGCACACAGTCAGGTAACTGGGGACCAAACACTGAAGTGAGCTACATGAGGCAGCATCTTTTTATTGAATTTAGAAGGTGAAAGAGTAGAAGACACAAACACACTCAAATCAAATCGGTGCTGTGTTTGTGCAGCGCTTGGCCAACAGCGCGCTTCCACACTAATAGAAATAAAAACATTGCTTTAGGACTGAACGTTATTGCATTTACATCATTTCTATTGCATTCCTCAGTGTTACCGCATGGTGAAAACTTGATGTACGCAATTACTGATACAAATACCAGCCTCAAGTGGATTTGTGTTCAATCCGGATGTAAGATGTTTACTCATCTGAGCTCTGTACACTGTTAGTGTTTTTTTTTATTTTTTTTTATTTTACACCAGTCTGGTACTTTCTGTTCCTCGTCTCTTATCCTTTTCTTTCAGACCCATAAGTCTCTGTCCTTATCGCAACCAATTTTACTCTCACCCTGCTGGCTTCTCATGACAGGCTTTCCTCCTCACCACTCACTCAGTCCAGCTCGTGCAAAAGGTCAAACACACCCATAGAAATGGAAAATACCAGACTCGCTCGAGTATCTCCCCTTCCTCTGTACACAAACTCAACTTTTTTCAAGTGGCAAAGGGAGTTTAGAGGAACATTGCTAAGCAACATGATAACACTCTCTGGTGGTTCCCAAACATTATGAGCATTAATCCTTGAAAACAATGTTAAAAATAAATGCCAGGCAAAGACATTCAGCATGATTAAAGAGCAAGAAAGGGGCATCTGAGATGTATATGAAAATTAGCTTACTAAAAAAAATAATGAAAACCTTAAACTTACATTGAAGGATAAAAGTTGACTGATTAAAAAGTTTTCTGAAAAATCTAAAGAGTTTCTAAGTTTCAAGAAATAACTTTGTGTGGTGGAGACTGTTTATAACTGGTAGTCAGATTTATAGCAGCCTCCCAGGTCGGCTTTTGGCACTGAACCCCTCACAAATACTGTTAATTGTATTTAGAAAAAACTCAAATAAAACACAGTCAGAGGTCAGAAGAAGATGAAAAGCTTGTTGTGATTTTGCTAAAAGATCTCATTTACTCAATCCCCACACTTATTTTTCCTGCACTGCAGTGACTCCAGATCGCCCTGGCAATATAAAACCACTCACTGCACATAAACTCACCACTCCGCGGCAAAGATACGATCTGTAGGATACAGTGATTTTTAGTGCTGACACCCAGGCAGAAAGTTGTAGTCCGGACAGTAATTGAAATATTAAATGAAAACCAATTGCAGAGCATTCTCCCAGGATGCAGTCATAGGTATTATTACATTCTGACTGTGCATATTGTTTGTGACAGCGTTTGCTGGTGAACTCTGTTGCACTCCCACCGTCTCGGTTTCTCCTGCCACCCTTCTTTTCATCGCCTCCAGACTAAGATATTCTCTCCCCCCATTCTTGCCTTTTCTCCTGCTTATTCCCCTTTCCCCTCACTTGTCCACATGGCTATCAGTCTGCATATGACAAGCAGATGCTCACCATGCAAATATGCCTTTTAAAATCACTGCGTCCTTCATCTGTAGCCAAACAGATACGCAGGAATTCAGCACATTTTTTTGGTCACATTTTGCAGCCTTCCTGCATTTTTCTCTATAGTTGTTTTTGTGTATAACTTAATATCCAATATATCAGCTTGTCAGGAAGATTAATATAATTTACTTTGTGAGCTGTACAGTATGTGCTTTAGTAAGGTTTTTCATTATGACAGAGCTGACTTGAAATTATTTCATACCAAAACTTTAATCAACTGCTCAAAAAAAAACATCTGCCGCGGGGAGATGAAAAATGCAAAGAAATTATATTTTATATACACAGTCAAACTTTGCTGGACACAATTTATCTGTTTCTATAGGATGAAGTGTTTAGCACTGTTGGTGTATTTGCCAGTATAGAATAAAGTGTTTTATATTAATATACTAATGCAACTTATCTGGCATGCTCTTTAATAATATGTTGATTCTGCTTCATTTGCTTTTTTGAAAACTGCACATTAGTCAAGTTTTAACAATATAAATGCAGGTTTGTGTCAGTGTGTTCCTCTTTTTGTTGAATTGAGAACTGAAAACGATTATTTATTCCTCTTGAAATTCCCGATAATTTTGTTTTCTTCTCCACATTCTCCTGTATTCTCGTGTGATCTACACTTTTCACCTACCCTCACCGGCCTGCAGTCTCTGGGAAGAGAAGCAGTATCTGGAGAAAGAGAATGAAATTCAGATGAAACCTGCTGTAAGTTCATTATTGCACCATCCAGTTCTAGTTTCAGAGGTGTGGATTACTATTCCAACAATGGTCTTGAAAGAGGATAAATATGAGTTTTACTTTAAGCCTCTATGCAGGCGTAATCCCTCCATATGAAGAGCGGGAACTGTCATTTCAAGCAGTATGAAGCTAAATCATTTTTATTCCAGTGTAGCAAAAAGGAGGGCAACAAGTGGAATGAGATTTAATCATTAATAACAAATCGACCTAACAGGCCAAATTCTTATTAATAATTTCACCATAACGTAGCATTTCCAACCCTTGGATTTTATTTTAATGATAAACAATAACAAGCAACACTTTTGGTGAAGAACATTTTATCAGATGTTGCCAAACAACCCCGAGGGTTACTCTCAAGGAGCACTACATTTATAAATTTCATCAAACTTTCTACATTTTATTGCTGGTGCTGCTAATGTCAAAAGAGTCTGAGCTTTGCAAAATTTCCTGAATAAATTCAGCGGCAGTGCTAATAACATTTGCATGTGTTTATATGCTACCGTTTTAATTGCGGAGTGCAGCACCAGATCATTACAAATTAGCCTGAACTCAAAAAGTGTTTTTAATGAGTCAAAGAGGCTCATGGGTAGTATTTAACCAACCAAACAAGTTATTAAAAAATATAATAAAACTCTAAACTCAAAGATCATCAGGGCCAAAGAAGTAATCAGTTCCACTGCCGGTGGCGTGCTTGCTGTTCAGGTAATTTGTTTTCTTAAGTGCTTTCTGTCTAACACTCACACTCTGATGGATGCATTAGAGAGCAACTTGGGGTTACTATCTTGCCCAAGGGTATCTGGCTTGCCTGGTTCCCTGGAGCCAGGGATTGAACCGCCAACCTTCCAATTTACAGATGACCTGCTCTACCTCATTGGAACCAACTAGAAGAATTTAGCAACTTAAAGAATCCAAATTTAAGGCACGTCTCAACTGGCTTCACTATTTACAATATATGCCACATACACTTGAAAAAATCAGAAACCTACTGTATTGTTATTTTTATATACACTAGATTGAGTCAGATGTTGAACCAGTATATTAGATTTAAAATAAAGTAAAGTCAGAGTAATCTAGCACTTTTAAAAAATGTTGAATTTCAATTGGTTTGTTCTGAAAAGTTTAGATTTAAAAAATCTGGAAAAACTCTGGCTTCTTGATTTTGTCAGTCTGGGTCATTAACTTGAAATACTTAAAAACGCTCACTGTGTATAATAATCATTTTTATCCTTTCACCCATCCACCAGTTTGAAAAATACAAAGTGTGAGCTTCAATTCGTTATAATGTACCTGATAATTCTGTATTATCAGTCTGTGGTTTACACGCTCTATGGGTCCTCTAGGAGCAAGAGGACAAGACAGAGGTCATGCAGGATCAATATGAGGATCTGAGGAGAGAGGTGGCACAAAGACAGCGAGAAATCAGGTATTATATGATGATGAAGTTTTAACATGCATTAACCACTATCTGTGTTCTGTGTGAGTTTGTTTTGTGTCTAACTGCAGATATTATCACTTTATTATCACGCCTTTAATGAAAATTGTTCCAGAGGTTAATGTACTTGTGTTTATACCTCACAGAAGTCTGATGGAAGATATAGAAACCCACGAAAAGCAGATATTGACAGAACAGAATGAGCTGGAAGATAAGAAGGCTCTCATTGAGCTTAAAGAGGTCTGTGCGAATGAGGGGGGAATAGCTTATAGGGTGCCATCAATAAAATAGCAAATCTGCCTTCTTACATGTGAACATCTCCATATGTATTACAAGGCTGAGAAGGCCGAGCTCATCAGAATACCTGACCAGATTTTAAAGGAGGCTGAAAGGAAACGCTCGACGAAGGAGTAAGTATATTAGTAAACTCCTCCTAATCTTTGCTGGGGAAGAGCAAGGAGAATATAGTTAGAAATTCCAGGAATGTCAATGAGACAGCTAGGGTGCTTCAGAGACACAGAAAAGAAAAGACAGCTGGAGCAACTTTCGAAAAGCCACTGCTCTAACCTGCCTCCACCCCTTCATCTGGAATTCGTACACAAACAAAATAAAAGTATCTGGATGAACCATTAAGATTCATAGTGGAAAGATTTTCTCTTTTTAATTGTTTATGCTCAGTGTAAATGTTTGTTTGGATATCAGTCCTTTTTTTTCCTACTGAAAACCATTTTTCAGTTTACATTTCTGCAGATTCTCTGGCTTTTGATCTACAGTACTACCAAATAAAGAACTGAAATGAGGGGTACTTTTTGTTGTACTACCCAAATTCTCAAAAATTTTCAGGCATCAGTCTTTTTATTGTAATTCAAGTGCAGCTGCAGGATGATTCACTTGCTGCGTCACTGCAGTTCCTTTTATGTTTCTTTTAAATTAATATTTGGCTTGCGAGTATTGCGGTGGAACTGTCTGTATAAGCTGTTTGAGCGCTGACTTGTAATTTCAAATTCACAAAGCTGAGGGGTACTGTGGGGTGTATGTAAAAGATGCATGCGCATGCTGTTATTTCATAAGATATGCACTAGAGCACACTTTTATCCTGTTCTCATACTTGCGTTCGTTCTTTATTTTTTACATTTCTTCCAATTCCTGAAACACAAATACCAGAGCTGCAATGAAGAAGATGAAAACACTAAATATGGAGATTTCAGAAATTGAGCAGCAAGTAAAAGCGGTGGATGAGCGAAACCATTCCCTCAGGATGAAGAAGGAGGACGTGATGCAAGAGCTGGAGGGTCTGAGGGTCCAAGTGGAGGCCAGTCAGAGGATTCAGAGGCAGCTGCTGAAAGAGCAGGAGATCAAGAAGGAGGAGCTGAATGAATTTATGGGCAACAGGTACTTTTTTTTTCTTTTTTCTTTCATTTAGTCTGAGCGACTTTGACTATTCTTAGGGAATCGAACATAGTGCTTTTCAGGTAGTGCTAACAACTCATATCCCTTTAATTGACACATTTCACCAATCGTAGGACTAGGAGCACACTGCACTGGCTTGTGCCCCCCCCCCCGGCTGGGTTTCTTCATGAGATAGATAATGTATGTTCAGATAGGATATTTGTCATGCGTGTCACTGTGTTTTCCCATTACCAGAGGCATCTTGGAAATGAAACTGCAGAACATCATGTGTGACAGAAAGCATCTGTATGAGAGACGGTCTCTGCAGCTCAAGGAGAAAAACAGGTACAGAGTGATATCTCACGAGTAATCTTTTCCACATGGAAATTAGTCCTTACATACTGAGAACCTTGACGGTGACCTTTTTCTGAACACAGAAATGTTAGGTTTGCATTTAGCATTTGCGTTAGCGTCTTCACGTGTTATTTTAGTAGTTTAAATCAGTCTTCTCTGCCACTGCTGGTGTCTATGTCATATATGTTCTAACATAAAAGGTCTTGAATAATCAGGCCCCATCTTATCTTAAAGACCTCATAGTTCTGTATCACCCCAATAGAGCACTTAGCTCTTAGGTTACTGGCTTACTTAAGGTATTTAAAAGTAAGGTATTCAATTTAATTTATATAGTGCAAAATCCCAACAACAGTCACCTGGAGGTGCTTTATATTTTAAGGCAAAGATCTAACAATATTAGAGAACCTGCTCTTTTAATTAACCAGCTCCTAGTTTGGATTCAGGGGACAGACACCCTCTCTACTTAAGATTGTGCTTGAAACTTTCCTTTTGGTAAAGCTTATATAGGCCTGGGCTGCTGGAGGCTTCTTCTGGAGGTGTTTCTTCTTCACTCACCTTTTGTCACTAACTACGTGTTTATACACCTCTCTGCATTTAATCATGAGGTTATTATTAACCTCTGGCTGTCCTCCAGAGCATGTCTTTTGTCCTGTCTTCCTCCCCTAATCCCCAAGCATTTGCGGCAAGTGGCAGCCCCTCTCTGAACCTGGTTCTGCCAGAGGTTTCTTCCTGTTGAAAGGGAGTTTTTCCTTCCCACTGTTACCAAGTGCTTGCTCATAGGGTGTCTTCTGATTGTTGGGGCTTTTCTCTGTATTATTAAAGGGTCTTTGACTTACAATATAAAGCGGCTTGAGATGGTTTGTCAGTTAGTCATGACTAGGGAAACCTAGTCATGCTATAAATCATTTAATGATACACTGTAAAGATTAGGGGTGCAACGATACACAAAATTCATGGTTCGGTTTCGATACTTTGGTGTCACGGTTCGATATTTTTTCGATACAAAAAAATGTTCATGCCTTTTTAATTTGCCATTTATTAAAATTATAAATATATATTTTAACTCAAAAGTACAGTTTTTAAATTTAATGTTGCTGAAACAAAAGTAATAAAAAAAATAATAAATATATCTCAGGGCTCTCAAAATTTCAAAATCCCTGGTAGCCCTTCGGGCAGGGACTCTTCAGTTTTTGGTAGCCCAAAATAAATGTAAGTAGCCCGAATAAAAAAGAGAGCAATTTTTTTGATTGACGTTTTGTTTCCTTTACAATATTATACTTTAATGTTGAATATTGTAAAGGAAACAAAACATTAATCAAAAAATTGTTGAAAAACAAATTACAACATTGTATAAAAATTACAATCATCAACTCAAATACTTGGTTCTAATTGAACAGAAATTTCTATGAACTTGTAAGAACTGTGTAGGACATGAATCAGTCTGTGTCAGATCCTGAATTTGAAATTTCCGCTGAAGTCACGGGTAAGAGACAAGTGGAACCAAGATCTAGGCCATTTGCATTTTGAAGTTTGCAAAGACTGCTAAATTTTGCCAGTGGTAGTTCACTCTTTGCAACATAGTACGCTGTTCTAAACAGATTTTTCAGGTTTATTTTTAGTATGTTATTTGCAATTGGTGTTTGTTCTGGGAAAGATATTGCAGACTGAGCAATAATGCATTTCTTGCATTTCTCATGGCTTCTAATGGGGCCTTTCTTAAAATGACTGGTCCCGGTAACAAAGGCGCTTGTCGACTCAGAAATCGAGAGAAAACCAACAACACACCCGGCAGAACATTATGTTATTTACACGGGTGCACATAAGTGGTCCGCATGTGCGCATTCGCTGTCAAAATAAAAGAGGCGCACCAGGTAAGAAGTTGCAACGCGCGATTGCGTCTATATAAAAAGCACTGTTTTTGTCCGCTAGAGTGGGATTTTCACGGCACATTCTGCACCACATCTCTGTGCGTTCATCATTTGTTTGAAGCCAGCTCACCTCCTGCAACCACTTTTCTGAGAATACGCGCTTCTTTTGTGGTTCGGACTCCTTCTGACATTTCTTTGGAGCTGCAGGAACACCAAAGTAATTGCTTAAAGGAGCTTCTTCGACATCTTTAAGAGTTTTAAACAAATGTCTATCCTCCTCCAGAAAATCTTATGTATGCAAACAGGCGTTGCAACTTCATATCTTGTGCACGTTGTTTGTTTTTTTTTGACAGCGAATGCGCACCTGCGGACCACTTATGTGCAGCCCCGGTTATATAGCTCGTCATATTGCAGCCACAGAAATTCTTTTGTCCATGAAACCATAAAGCTGCACTTTCTTTTTGCCTTATAGTCTGATTTGTCATAACTTTTCCGTTTTGTGGTAAGCTTTTCTTTGGCTGTCACTTCTTCACCCTGACCTCTCTTATTTGGCTCAGCAGAACTAAAATATAACGGTCAGCGATTCTCTGCGCGATCAACCTCTCACATGTTTAAGCTTGCTGCGGGAGATTTCACTTGTCATGTTTGCATAGTAAGCTAACGATTGATAAGACGATGTCAGAGGAATTGGTGCGCAAATTATCATCACTCACCAATCAGTACTGTCGCTCTCTATACACAGTTCGCACGATTGCAAAGTGAAAGCAAAAAACAAGCGCAAATTCAAACACGATTTGAATATGTCACATATTGACAGTGGCTCACCGATGGCAATGACATGATTACCCAGCTACATTTCCGAAAGAATGCAAAAGCATTGACATATATTTTCCTTCCTACAATAGCCCGACGGGCAGGGCAGAGATAGATTTTGGTAGTACGACTGGAAAAATCGCTAGCCCCGGGACGTCGGGCTAGCGATTTTGCAAGCCCTGTGTTACAGGCATGGCCCTTTAAGGATGAAGCCTGATGGGAAATGTATTCGGGATGTGTGTAGCGGGACTGCCTGGTGTGTGTGTGTGTGTGTGTGTGTGTGTGTGTGTGTGTGTGTGTGTGTGTGTGTGTGTGTGAGAGAAGAGAGAGAGCGGAGCAGGGGAAAAGTAACGGTTAGCTACAGAAGAGACGAAAAGAAAATAAATAAAAGGAATATAATAACTCCCTCGACAGCCAGAGTTGTGTTGGCGATGCTCGCTGTGAGTAAACTGTTTCAGCCCACTGTAGCGGTGTTCGTGCCTTAGAGAAGAAATAAAGTTCGGTGAAGCAGTTTCCTACGCCTCCTTCGATCTTTTTGCTAGCGGAGTTGACCTGTATAGTAAGCTGTTGCCGGCTACGAGTCAGTTACGGAACCTTCAAGTAACTGCCAGAGGTTTCCTTACTACGGTTCGGGGCCGCGGATCTGGCGCGGTAACACCTGTATCTGATTGAGGAATCACTCATCTTTGGAAAAGAGAGTTTATTACAGAGAAATGGCTCTTTCCAAAATAAAAGCTATACTATACGCTTCTTCTGGGCTATATTCTCAGCAGCATATTGTAGCGGGTCAGGGCTGTTCGGGGTTCTGTTTGTACAGTTATGTTTTGTTTATGTTGCCATAGTGACGGGCGACGCCCTCCCGCTGCGAGGGTGTGTCCTTCCGGGGTCAGAGGGCGCCTTGTGTGTTGTTGTTGTTGCTGTGCGGTTGCCGCGCTGAGCAGTTAGCTAGCGGCAGTGTTCTTCTGCAGATGTCAATAAACGGCTGTGCTCCCTGGCTAGCTCACGGGAAGCAAGACCAAACGACACCTCCGTCTCCTCCTTGTCTGAGCTCGCCACATTGGTGTCAGAAGTGGGATGATGGTGGCACCCCATGTTCTGACCCGAGTGACTTTTCCCCCGCCGGTCGTGACCGGCTGGTGCGCCAAAAGAAGGCACCTGGACATTTGTAAAGTGAAAGCAAAAAACAAGCGCAAATTCAAACGCGATTTGAATATGTCACATATTGACAGTGGCTCACCGATGGCAATGACATAATTGCCCAGCTACATTCCGAAAGAATGCAAAAGCATTGACATATATTTTTCCTTCCTACAATAGCCCGACGGGCAGGGCAGAGATAGATTTTGGTAGTACGACTGGAAAAGTCGCTAGTCCCGGGACGTCGGGCTAGCGATTTTGCAAGCCCTGTGTTACAGGCATGGCCCTTTAGGGATGAAGCCTGATGGGAAATGTATTCGGGATGTGTGTAGCGGGACTGCCTGGTGTGTGTGTGTGAAGAGAGAGAGCGGAGCAGGGGAAAAGTAACGGTTAGCTACAGAAGAGACGAAAAGAAAATAAATAAAAGGAATATAATAACTCCCTCGACAGCCAGAGTTGTGTCGGCGATGCTCGCTGTGAGTAAACTGTTTCAGCCCACTGTACGCTGTGTTCGTGCCTTAGAGAAGAAATAAAGTTCGGTGAAGCAGTTTCCTACGCCTCCTTCGATCTTTTTGCTAGCGGAGTTGACCTGTATAGTAAGCTGTTGCCGGCTACGAGTCAGTTACGGAACCTTCAAGTAACTGCCAGAGGTTTCCTTACTACGGTTCGGGGCCGCGGATCTGGCGCGGTAACACCTGTATCTGATTGAGGAATCACTCATCTTTGGAAAAGAGAGTTTATTACAGAGAAATGGCTCTTTCCAAAATAAAAACTATACTATACGCTTCTTCTGGGCTATATTCTCAGCAGCATATTGTAGCGGGTCAGGGCTGTTCGGGTTCTGTTTGTACAGTTATGTTTTGTTTATGTTGCCATAGTGACGGGTGACGCCCTCCCGCTGCGATGGTGTGTCCTTCCGGGGTCAGAGGGCGCCTTGTGTGTTGTTGTTGTTGTTGTGCGGTTGCCGCGCTGAGCAGTTAGCTAGCGGCAGTGTTCTTCTGCAGATGTCAATAAACGGCTGTGCTCCCTGGCTAGCTCACGGGAAGGAAGACCAAACGACACCTCCGTCTCCTCCTTGTCTGAGCTCGCCACATTGGTGTCAGAAATGGGATGATGGTGGCACCCCATGTTCTGACCCGAGTGACTTTTCCCCCGTCGGTCGTGACCGGCCGGTGCGCCAAAAGGTGCCTTACCTGGACATGTGCAGGACTTTGTGTGGGGGCAATGGGGTCGTCGGGGACGACTGACGACTGACCCCTTAGGTGGAGGCTGTGTAGCGGGTCAGGGCTGTTTGGGGTTCTGTTTGTACAGTTATGTTTTGTTTATGTTGCCATAGTGACGGGTGACGCCTTCTCACTGCGACGGTGTGTCCTTCCGAGGTCAGAGGGCGCTCTGTGTGTTGTTGTTGTTGTGCGGTTGCCGTGCTGAGCAGTTAGCAGTGTTCTTCTGCAGATGTCAATAAACGGCTGTGCTCCCTGGCTAGCTCACGGGAAGCAAGACCAAACGATACCTCCGTCTCCTCCTTGTCTGAGCTCGCCACAATATTAAACATATCAGGTCCCCATAAGGAGAATCATGTGCTAACGGCTGTCTAAATGACTCGGGTAAAGTTTGTAGCATGCATGCTTGTTGTTTTTGTCTGCTTCTACTTGTCTTTGCACTAGGATGATGTCGGAGTAAATGTGCAGTCATATTCGTTGTGTTCCCACTAGTGCTGTCAGCGTTAATCTCGTTGAGATGACGTTAACGCCACAACACGGCAAATCTCCGTTAACGAGCTACCCCTGCGGGGCTGGACGGCCAACACGTTAACGAGCTAACTGCCACTAGTTCCCACCCATGTAATTGAGCATTGTGTGGCACATCCAACATACTGTTTTACTTTACTCCATGACGCGCTTAACTTCAGGGTCATACATCACATGAAAACCAAAATAATTCCAAACGCCAGATCTGAATGAGTGTGGGGGAGGTTCAATTTGCCATGTTGCAAGGAGAGCTTAACTTCTGTCTCGCTAGCTTGCCCTGCGCTCTTCCTTCTGACAATGCTGTCTGTGTTGAAGGCTCAGTGGATCTGCGCTCTACAGTGCAGCCTAGGCGGAGTAGTCGAACGCAGATTCACTGAGCGCTCAACACAGACAGCATCGTCAGAAGGAAAGTTGATAAAATAAATTACAAATTTTGTATTGTTCATACATATGCATACCAAACCGAAAGCACTGTATCGAACGGTTCAATACCGATACGAGTATCGTTGCACCCCTAGTAAAGATCCTTTAAGTATAAAAAATACATCATTTTGAGCAGTGGCAGGTGTAGTTTTACAGTTTTTCTGCATCAGTGTGCAAATGTTTTAAAGTCTAACAGCTGTTTAACAAGAGGTGAGTCTTTAGCTGCATTTCAAACACAGTTCAAAACCATCATATTTGACAGCAAACCATATGCAGCGCTTTATAATTAGCTAGATGTGAAACAATAGATTTTAGTGTTGGAGAGTCGGTGTCATGATAATGAAATATTTAAAAGGGGCCTGTTTTTTATCCTCAGGCAGATGCAAGCCCTGAACAGGATGGAGCACGCATTGACCGCAGCCACGGAGCAGCTCGAACACATGCGGAATATCTACGAGAAGTTAAAGGCAAAGGTGATCTGTGAAATGTTGCTTTCACATGAAGACATGGTGAAGCAGTTAAAGTGTCCAGTGTGATTGCTGTGGTTCCTTTGTACATGTAACACCTGTAATTGCGACTTAAAAGCTTCACAGTACTGTATAGATTCTCTTCATCTTCTCACTGGAGTTAACAACAGATTTGGAACATTTTCCAGGCTTTGACACAGGTGTTGTATTGTCACATAAATTGTTGATTTATATTAGACCAAGCTTCCTGTCATTTTTCTGATGTGCGCATTTTTTAACGAGAAAGTGGAAGGAAGAGGAACAAGCGGCTGATTGGAAATGCATCAGCACATCTCAAAAGGACATAATGGCATGAAAGGAAATCAATATGACACATCTGGGAATTTGCACATTGAGGAAACAAGGAAACAACGCTTCTGAACATTATGATTCACTCAGTTTGCTAATCAAGAATAGCTCACACGAACAGCCGCACATAATGAAACTGAACTGTTTGGAGGAGTCTGTGGTTTTACCACAGAAATTCATCACATTTAAATCGAACGCGATGTGATTGATGGGTTTAATATTTTCATACTGTTGTGCTCAAACTTTACCCAGCAAGAGGGCTAATAATGAATATTTATTGCTTTATGTATGCAGATGAAACTTAATTATGGTATTGCATTATCTTTTTTGAAGTACTTGAACTTACTGATGTAGTCTTCTTCTCCCTCCAAACTTTTATAAAATATGCGGCTGCGGAGATCAAACTGCTAAAAACGAGACGCTGTTATAAGATCAAATAATCTAACACTGTTGTGTTTGTTTTTTAGTAAGCCTTTTTGTGGGATTGAATATTCACTGCCCGGATTAGATATTGGGTGTAGGAAGATTAGGACTCAATCCTCATGGTGTTTTTTTTTTCTTTACACTGTGGTCTGAAGAACATTGCATTTGAACCCAATTCAAAGGATACTTGCCAATTTATACTGAAAGAAAACTCTCATTTTCTGAATTTTCAGTTAGATGCTGTCCCCAAAACAGAAGCCAGCTTTCAGCAAAGGATGGAACTTCAGAAAGAGGTTGATGCTCTCAAAGTCAGCTTTGAAAAGCAGGTGGGCATGTAAGGGCCAACCATCGATCCGTTTTCTTCTGCTCATTGAATTCAGGGTCGCAGTTTGAGCTGGAGTAGGGCGAGAGGCTGCGTATACCCTGGATACGTCTCCAGCCTATCAAAAGATATGCTTTAAATACCACATAGACTTTATTAATCTGACACTGGGGAAATTCACATTATAGCAAGAATAAGTGTGAGCAAGAAAAAGCAAATTGGAGATATCTTGATGCATTCTCAATGCGTTTTGTGGGAGAAAGGTTTCGTCACTCATCCAAGTGACTTCTTCAGTCTCAGCTGACTGCAGGTTTCCCCAAATCTTATAAACAGCACATTTGCATAATGACTGAAACCAGCCCACTGAAACGTTTCTCCCACAAAACGCTACGTCCAGATGAACAGAATCAACTTTTGGAGAATTGGAGATATATTAGAAAAAGGAAAAAGTAGAACAATAAATAATAAATAGTGTTTAAATACAGAAAAAACAGACAAAAAAACTACACGAGTAATTTCTGCTATTCACAAATGGTTGCTACAGTATGAACAATCAAAGAAATTTTCATATTTACTCTGGGAGTGATAATATTAATTATAATATGCTATAATATTAGTTAGTTTTAATAAACATCTCAGGCTTTTTCCACTTTCTGGGTCTTGCACTTTTACTATTAAAGTTCTCACTAAGTCGTTTTTCATGTCTTTGTATCTTAATTTCAAGAAATGAGGGACAAAATGAGATTTCTGTTTACATATTTTGTTCATGACACACAATAAGAGAAAATTGATTCCAGTGATCGCCCCGGGGATCCATAATATCATTCGGTTTTTAATGTTTTTAAGGTGTTTTTAAACTGTAAAGGGCTCCTAAATTGTTCCCAAACAGCTATTGGCGGCTGAAGAGGAAAGCGAGAGAAAGCAGCAGTATCGGGTCATTCAGGAGCTGCTCAGTGACTCAAACCGCCTCAGAGAGGAGGTCCATAACCTGAGATGTTTAACGCAAATCAAAGCAGAGGAGAGAGGCCAGAAGCACCGTGAACTGCTCAGGGTCGAGGTGAAGTTTAAACCCACAGACATGCACACCGATTTATTTACATTTTATGTCATCATTAATGCATTTTAGTGCATAATATAATCATTTATGCAGACACAGAGCAGTTCAACTAGACTTGTGTGAGAATCAGTGGGTTTGTATTTTAGATACTTTGGGATGTTAGCATGACAGTCGAGAAACCAGCGAGCAAGAGCGCATCTGTCTTCTACATTAATAATATTGGGGATATTGGGATTGAGGAAAAAACATTTTATAAATTATTACGTTTTTTTTTTTAATTAATAAAAGATTCACCGACTCTTTCTTAATTAGTACATAAGAAAATCCTGGATCAACAGCAACCAGCTCGAAAATAAATGAGAAATTCTTAAAAATAAAAATTGCAAAGAAAACAAAGACTGTTAGATCAGTCATTTGAATTTTTGTTTATCCTTCATTTACTTACAGTTTAAAAATGGAAGCTATTTTAAAGGCACAAGGGAAGTTTGATATCTGGCACAAACACACACACGTGCATACACACAGCAGATGATGATGCTGTTCCTTGTTAAATCTTCCAACAGCAACTGAACGAGCGCATCCAGCACGAGCTCAAAGAAAAAGACCTGATCATCATGGACCATAACAAGCTCAACACTATGCTACAGCGCAGGTGCACCTGTTTTGTTTTTTTTAACGATGTTATAGTGTTGTTAATTATGTTGTTAATTTCAGAAATAAACTGTATAACAACAGTTTATTAAAGAAATAAACTGTTGTTACTGTCTCTGTCTGGCTCTCTCTCTGAAATAAAAGCATTTTATTACATTTTTATTTCCCGATGCAAAATCCTTGATGTGTGTACCTCATTTTGCTCTATCCATCCATCTTTTCATCCGTAATTGGATGAAGTAGCATGAATTTAAATATCAGAACTTTTGCAGTGACTGCCTGAAGTCTAGAATCCATGGACATCACCAGATGTGGTTTCCTCCCTCGAGATACTATGCTAGGACTTTACTGCAGCCATCTTTAGTTGCTGCTTGTTTGTGGGCCTCTCTCTGTTTTATCTTCAGTAGCTGAAAAACAAGCTCTATTCGAGTTTTCTGTATGCTTTGAGTTCTTACCTATTTCTAGCTTTGTGTTTCTCCAAAAGGATCACAATGCTAGATAACATTACAACTCAGCAGAGGAAGACTCTGTTAATGTTCATGTCCTCTCACATATTCACGAGCCACAAGGGTTTTGGATAAATTTGACATTTTAAGTGCCATTTACTTCCATTTAACTAAAGCAAATATCCGTCTCCAAAAGCACAAAACTCACACCAAGTATGTAGATTTTGGTTTTCAGTGAAATATTCCTTTAATATAACCATTTTTCACGACTGATAATTGATTCCATGTTATATGTTTGGCTCCTCTGAGCTGCAAAATATCTGCAGCCACAATTAATTCAGACATCTGTGCATGTTGTCTTGGTAGAAAACCATTTCTTTCTAATTGGTCATACTTCAGTGTTCAGACACAGACTAATGCATAAAGCACCACCCAGTATAAAAGCAGATTTTTAAACAATGCATTCATTAAGGTCAAAGCAGCAGAGTTCAGTTTGAAGTGGTTGCACTTGACATGGAATCAGACAGTGTATCTCCTCTCTGTTCTCACATTTAGCCGTCGTTCGTCACAGCACACACGTCTTAGATGCATTTTAAACCCTGTGAGACTTTGGTTCTTTCATAATTTTGTGATCCACTGATCACTTGTAATGAATATGAGTCACTGATATTAAGATTACTCTGTTAGGAGTATAGCATCTGTTGATGACAAAATTTCTGTCCATAGTTTATTTAGCAAGCGCACATAGACCTAAAAGTCTAAGAAGTATAAATACAAAGCATTAGTGTAACGTGTAAAGAAGTTGTTCTGGATTGGGAGTTTGTGTTGTAGATAAATAATGTGTTCATTACTAATCTGTGTTTTGTTACCTCGTCAGAATATTACAGTACTCTAAGCTGTCCGATATGGTTATGGAAGAGAAGAAAAAGTATGTCAAGCTGAAACAGATGGCCTCACAGACGATCACAGAATTGACGGAGCAGATTAAGGTCCTGGAAAATGAATCGGAAATCCAGCGAACCATTGCCATCAACAAGGACAGGTGTGTTTAGGATATGTGGTCATAACCAAATACTATAATAGCAGTTAAAATGTCAAGCTGTGTGCAACGAGTTATGTTTTATTGAGTTTCTGTGTGTAATTATTATCTTTTTCCCTTTATATACGCCTATTTCAGAGGACTCTCAAAGGCTCGTATGAAGATCTCTAATACTTCGAAAACAAGGGACAAGCTACGCAATGACATTTCCAAGGTTCACAGACACACACACACCCTTTGCAGTATGGCAGTATCACAATTTAGACAGTTTAAACAAACATTAAATGAGCTGCGAGACATCCAAAGTTGTGTACAGACACAAATAAGACAGGGGTGAACTCATTGGTAGCATTTTATAGTAAAACGTGTGGGGGTTTTTTTGTTTATCACTGTTGTTAGAATGATCTTACCTGAAGTGCTTTATTACTGTGCCATATATTAATCTCATATTAATCAAACTGCCATATAATCATATAGTGTAGTGTTAAGTGGACACAGCCCTGAATAATAAAGGCATTAGAATAGGTGTCCTTCAGTCGTAGACTCTCACCCATGTTTGCCTGTAGAGCAGTAGATAGTAGTGGAAACTTGTAGTGGAAACTTACTGAAATGCTGTTGTTTAGACTAGAAAAGGTTCCTGGTAATAAAACTGTCAGGTGCCCGTCACCATTTTGAGATCCACGGCAACGTGTCTTGCAGGACGCATCTCCCTTCTAGAAGTATTGTGAAAGTGAAATAAAGTGTTAAATGGTCTAGGGAGCAGTGTTTTGTCTTCCATCGGCTGCCTCTGAGGAATCAAAAAAACTCGGTGAAGGGTTACGGACAGTACCTAGCTCAGGGGTAGGTCAGGGTAGCCGTTCAGCGGATTCGAACCCCAACCTTCCAATCATGGGGCGACCACTCTACCTACTGAGCTATCCCTGCCCACAAAAAACGTGAAAAGATTCCTGACTTTGATTACCCAAATGACATTTTAAGAAGGTTCCTCTCCTGGATGTTATACTTGTACCATCTTTGCTGTTGAAGAATTCTCCCACAGATTTAGATTCAGGATTCTTTCAGTGCTAGGCAAGGCAAGGCAAGTTTTTTTTGTATAGTACAATTCAACAACAAGGTGATTCAAAGTGCTTTACAGAGACATTAGAAACAAAAACAAATAAAAAGCATGATTTAAAATTGATTAAAACAATCAAACAAACAAACTAATTAACAAACAAACAAAACAGATAAAATCAGAAATAGATAAAATCAGAAATAGATAAAATCAGTAGTTAAAATGTTAGTTTTGAAATTTAAGCTTAAAAGTGTGGATTTGGTGCTTTATTTAAATGCAGCTGAGAACAGGTGAGTCTTCAACCTGGATTTAAATAAACTGAGTGTTTCAGCTGATCTGAGGCTTTCTGGGAGTTTGTTCCAGATATATGGAGCATAAAAGCTGAATGTAGCTTCTCCGTGTTTGGTTCTGACTCTGGGAACTGATAAAAGACCGGATCCAGATGACCTGAGGGATCTGGAAGGTTCATACTGGGTCAGGAGGTCACTGATGTATTTTGGTCCTAAACCATTCAGAGCTTTATAGACCAGCATCAGAACTTTAAAGTCTATCCTCTGACGGACAGGCAGCCAGTGTAAAGACCTCAGAGCTGGACTGATGTGGTCCACTTTTTTGGTCTTAGTGAGGACTCGAGCAGCAGAGTTCTGAATGAGCTGTAGTTGTCTGACTGATTTTTTAGATAGACCTGTAAAGATGCTGTTACAGTAATCAAGCCTACTAAAGATGAATGCATGGACTAGTTTTTCCAGGTCCTGTTGAGACATCAGATCTTTTATCCTTGATATATTCTTGAGGTGATAGTAAGCTGACTTTGTTATTGTCTTAATGTGTTTTTCTAAGTTTAGGTCTGCATCCATCACTACACCCAGATTTCTCGCCTGGTTTGTGGTTTTTAGATGTATAGATTGAAGTTCTCTGGTGACCTGTAATCGTTTTTCTTTGGCGCCAAAGACTATTACTTCAGTTTTGTTTTTGTTTAGCTGGAGAAAATTGTGGCACAACCAGTCATTAATTTCCTAAATGCATTTACCAAGAGTCTGTACAGGGCCTCGGTCTCTTGGTGACATTGTGATATATATTTGTGTGTCATCTGCATAGCTATGATAGTTTATTTTGTTGTTCTTTATAATCTGTGCCAGTGGGAGCATGTAAATGTTAAACAGAGGGGGTCCCAAGATGGAACCTTGGGGAACTCCACATGTGATACTTGTCTGCTCGGATGTGAAGTTACCTATTGATACAAAGTATTTCCTGTTTTCTAAGTATGTTTTGAACCAGTTTAGTACAGTTCCTGAAAGACCTGCCCAGTTCTCCAGTTGTTTGAGTAATATGTTGTGGTGGTCAACTGTGTCAAATGCTGCACTGAGATCCAGTAAAACTAAGACTGACATTTTTCCACTGTCTGTATTCAGACATATGTCATTAAACACTTTGGTCAGAGCGGTTTCAGTGCTGTGGTTCTGTCTAAAACCTGACTGGAAGGCATCATAGCAGTTATTCTGTTTTAAGAAGTAATTGAACTGTTGAGAAACTGCTTTTTCAATGATCTTACTTAAAAGTGGGAGATTTGAGATCGGCCTGTAGTTGTTCATTTGTGTCTTGTCAAGATTGTCCTTTTTCAGTATAGGTTTGATTACAGCAGTTTTTAGTGGTTCCGGAAACACACCTGACATTAAAGAAAAGTTGACGATCTGTAACAGGTCTGACTCGAAAGTCTTTGAGACCTTTTTGAAAAAACTTGTTGGCAGGACATCTAAACAGCAAGAGGAGGAGTTCAGTTGACCTAAGATGTCCTCCAGGTCTTTGCTGTTAATCGGGTGAAACTGTTTGATGGTGTTTAAACAGTTTTTCAGTGGACACAGTACATATTCTGGATCTGCTGTTGATGTACCAACTGCTTGTCTAATCTTTTGGATTTTTTCTGTGAAGAATTTGGCAAAGTCATTGCAGGCCATGGTCGAATGAAGTTCAGCTGCCACTGGCACAGGAGGGTTTGTTAGCCTGTCAACTATAGAAAATAAGACCCGAGCATTATGGCTGTTTTTAGTGATGATGTCAGAGAAGTAGGACCTCCTTGCACTCCTCAGTTGTAAATTATAATTGTGAAGTTTCTCTTTATAGATGTCATAATGAACCTGGAGATTTGTTTTTCTCCATCTGCGCTCAGCTTTCCTACACTCTCTTTTTTTTCATTTTTCATTAGTGTGGAGTTTCTCCATGGAGACTTTTTCCTTCCAGAGATAACCTTCACCTTAATGGGAGCAATAGTGTCCATTACATTTAACATTTTTGCATTGAAGCTATTGACGAGCTCATTGACTGAACCTCTGGACAGGTTAATGGGAAGACCTGGTTAAAGATCTCACTACTGTCTTCAGTTATACACCGTTTTGTGATCACTGCTGTTGATATATTTGTGTGGGCTGAGATTTTACTTTCAAAGAAAACACAGTAATGATCAGACACGCCCACATCAGACACAGTAATGTTTGAAATGCTCAGGCCCTTGGAGATCAGTAGGTCAAGAGTGTGTCCTCTATTATGTGTGGCCTCTGTTACATGCTTACACCTCTGCCAGTTTAGCTCACTGCGATAGTACGCTGGCAAGTAGTGCATCGAGGTGAACGTCGCGAGTTCGAGGCCTCGCCTTCCCACAACAAAGTTACATGCTGAGTCAGCCCAAAGTTGCCCAGAGTGTTACTCAGGTCTTTAGTCCCTTTGTCCTGAGGGTTGTCCACATGGATGTTAAAATCCCCAACAATAATTACACAGTGGAAATCAACACAGATCACAGACAGCAGTTCACTGAGGTCATTAAAAAAGTCTGTGCAGTATTTGGGAGGCCTGTAAACATTAAGAAACACAACTTTGGATGGGGCCTTCAGCTGTAAAGCCACATATTCAAAAGACTGAAAACTTCCAGGAGATAGCTGCTTACATTGAAATGATTCATTAAATAAGACAGCAACCCCTCCTCCTCTCCTGCTCACCCTGGCCTCACTGATAAAACTGTAGTTAGGAGGGGTCGTCTCGATGAGAACAGCTCCACTGTTACTTTGGTCCAACCAAGTTTCAGTTAAAAACATAAAATCACATCTGTGTTTTGTGATACCTCTGGCCCAAAAAACCTTCATCGCAGAGCTGGCTTTGAGTTTGATGAGTGATGACCAGTGGATAACAGTGATGTGCTTTTAAAAATGACCTGGGGTTTTTTAGCTTTTCGGTTAGTCTTACTTCTGGTCTTTGTTCTGGTCTTCCCTGTTTGTTTTTGTTAGATTTCGCTCCAATTGTGTGCACCACCTGTTATTTAGCTTCATTTTGCCAGCTTGTCCCGTCACTTCCAAAAGTCAAACATTCCAGCCGTTTTCTTGAGTTCCTGGTGTTTTCTCCTTTTTAAACTTCCTCTTCTTGCGAATGTTTCGAGGACACTGACTAAATGGTCTGTGCTTGACCATGGCCTGTTCTGCATTTCTCTCCATCACACTAAAGGACAACACAAGTATCTAAGGAAAGGGCAAACATGGAAGAAATACTTTAAAAGAATGAATACATAAAATGTACTGTATTAAATCTGATACGTCCAAAGTTCTGTCGCACTGAACCCCACTGACCATTAAAAAAAAAAATAATTAGAACAGACTTTTCTGAGGGTCATTAAGTGCTTTGTACCGATCTTGTTTCTGATGCTGTGAACATGCTTATTACTTTCTCTTTCTCTCTGACTTGTTGTAGGCTGCCGGGAAGCAGTGCCGGATAAATCAGGAGTGTGAGGACAACAAACTGGAACTAATGAAGCTCACACAAATGATCAGCCATCAGCAGGAGACTCTGCTGGAAATAAACAAGAATCACAAAACTGCCATACAGCGGCGCAACTTCCTGTATGTTCATAGCTTAAAGCTCAAGTAATGGCTACCCGAATGCTTACATATTGACCTAAAGCTCGTATATACTATATGCACTTCTCAAATCTACAGAGGAATCCAGCTCCTGGAACATGAAGAGATTTTGTGTAACTACTATGAGAAGGTGAACATCCAGGAGGCAGCTATCACTAAAAGAAACTCGATTCTGGAGGCCCTGGAGAAGGACATGAGAGACTTGGAGTTAGCGATTAATGAGGAGAAGAGGAAGATAGACCTGAAGAAGAAAGATGTACTCCTCAAGAGGAAACTGGAGGAGGAGATTACAATGCTCCAAATAGAGGTAGAAAAACATTAGATAAACCTACACACTCATCCTCACACAGACGGTTAACAGTCCGTCCACAAAGGAAGCAATTACACCAAACTTGTGGAAATGCATACTAATTACCTGAGAAGTTATAGAGTAGGAGGAAAAATGTGTCTACTTATTGCATGCTTAACAGGTTTTGAGAATGCAAGATTTCTATGAAGATGTAGAAATCCTTCATTAAACTCATTTTTCTTGTGTAAACAGTGCTGACAGTGTTCCGGCAACAGTCTCGCAACACCCACTTCTCTTTTCTTACTGTCTTCTTTTATTCCTTATTAACAAGAAATGAAAACTGGAAATGCATCATACTGTACAGTTCAAGACATTTTTGCATTGCCTAATGTTAGAGCCACCCATAAGGCATATACTCTTGAATGAGCACTGCATCCTATAAAATGTCCCTGCGCTTTCCATAGTGGCATTTTGCTAATATAGCCACTAATTGGTGCCTGAGGTGCAATATGCTGCTGCCCACATTTTTCCAACAGTGCAACCATGACTATACCATGAAATGACTTTGCTTCGTGGACTCAAAATCCTCTCTGAATGTAGTTAAACCTGCCAGCTAGCATGAAAAAAAAAGAGATGCTGTGAAAGTACAGATTTTCCTGAGAATCTTCTGGCACATGTGGTGTCTGTAGGTGTGTTCGCGTTAGCATGCCTGGTCCATCTGCAAACCAGGGACTTTCTTCAACAGCACTTCCATGCGTTGTCCAGCTAGGTGTGTGTGTTCCCATTACTCCTTGTCATAAAAATAATATACGCGATTTATTTTTTATCCGTAGAGGTCTGAGGGAGTGTATGACTGCGGGTGTATGTGAGTTGAATGGTGTCAGATTTTACAGATTATTGCTCAACTTTTACTGTCTCTATCAAGCCAGGGGAACTCCAGCAAGAACAGTTAAGTGCAGTGCTTTAGAATAAAACCCATAGAGCAGTGGAGACACTCAGAACATCACTAATGAGCAGGTCCTTGTTTTGAAACACGTTCAGCATTTTATCTCACAAAGAGACTTCTGAATTACTCTAGTAAACATGCTGTGTGGGAAGGCTTTCGCTTTACTTTAATGACAGGACTCAGTGCTCATTAAAGTGTAAACATTCGTAGTTTGACCATAATCAAGACTGATTATGCTTGAGAGGTGTCTGCTTGGACAAACTAGTGGAAGAAGGCATGCATCTATTCACAATTTAAAACAAAACATTTTGAAATAGCCACACAAGGGATGAAGATTGGGGGGAATTTTCTTCCCTATTGTCAGATGAGAGCCTCATTTTGCTGAGCAGATCTTAATGGAGTGAAATTTTAAGGATGGACACTTGCCAAATAAAGTTCAAGACACACACGGATACTCAGAAAGAAGATAAGTATCTAAAACAAAGGGGAAAAACCCAAACGATAACACTGTGCACACAGAGACGAAGAGAAATTTGAAACAGACACACAAACATGCAAGTTCCCCTTCCAGCAGCTACATCATGGGATTGGGTGTGTTACCTCTCTGGATCAGAGTGATTGGCTTACAGTTGCTGCTGGACCAGACGTATGTTATCCGAGTCTTATGCTCTTTTGGATGAACATAACGTTGGATAAGACTTCAGCGTGTGCTGCTCATTTGAAAAACACCCCTCTCCTTTTTGTCCATCTGTTTACTCCTTCTGTTGTTTATGTTTGCTACAGGGAGCCCTGATGATGCCATCTTTTTGCTTTCACTCATGTTTCATTAGTTTCTTTACTCTTTCCCACACTTTGTTTTCAACAAAATTCCTGAATTTTATTGTTTCCACCAGGATTTTTCTTTCACTTGTGTTCACAACTTCAGCCTTTTGTTATGTTCTTCTTCCTCACACAAACTAACTATATATTTGGATATTTTCATCGATGTTAGGTCTCTGACTCTGAGGATTGCAGGGCAGCTTGCCTGGTCTATTTGGGCTAGACTGAAATAGCTCAGCAACAGTTGGACTTATTAAAACTTCATACATATTTTCATGAGGCCCAGAGCACAAATCCTGCTGACTTTACCTTGACCGGTACCATCAGGTTGGCAGTTCTGGTTGTTAGTACAGTTTAATTCTGAACATTGTGTCTAAAACATATCTGACTTTCACTTTTAGCACTTTTAGGACGGGGAAGTTGATCTGGATCTTTTTGTTATTCCACTGCTGTTTCAACATGGTGTTTATCCTATAAATATTCTTGCTGACTGTAAAGCAGTTGCCTAATCAATTACATCATAATTTCCTACAAACTTGAATTCTGAATGTTCTTATTAAACTTGTTGAATTGCAGTTATGCGCTTGGGCTGTTGTCACTGGCATCCTGCTGTTAGAATGCCTGCCTATGAAGAGCTGTTCTGAAAAAAAAAATGATATGCACAGTTTGGAAGTTTTGCTGGAGATGCTATAATCGACCAATAGAGAGGAACGGCCCCTCTTCTGTGCAGACAGACCAACCCTGACCTGACTATCATTCACACTTAAAACCTGTGACCAGCACATTACAGAGCAGGCTTATTTTCACACATTTATTGAGTCAGAACCAAAACTCCAAAAGTTTGCTGCTGATGTTAATAGGTGGAACCAGCTTCCTCTCTCCCTGTCCAAAGATTTGCTAATGTTTGTACAAGAGCGTGACGCCCTGCAGGTGAGCAGAAAACAAAAATCACACCCTGGGTGTATCTAACTGAGAAAACAGGACACTGTCTGCTCATAGGTTAGCATATGTCAATCACAAGGTAGCCACACTGTAATGCATACCCTTCTATCTCATGTATTTTACTTAAAATGGGTCCATCATTTTACAAAACAAACTTTATTGTATCAAATAAGATTTGAAAATAGCAAGTGAGACCAATAAAGTGTTTCCTGAGGTCATTGATATGGTTTAAAAACACACATGCTACTTGATGGCAGATGCAGACACTAATATCCATCTTTCATATACAGTCTATGTTTGATTCCCAAGTTATTGAACAAATACTGTTTCCTTTAGTCTCAGCTGTACTTTTGCTCTTTAGCAAATGTTAACATGTTAACATATTGAAGTAAGATGAGAAACATTGTAGCGTAACACCATTTTAGCAATGTTAATATGAGCATTTTAGCTGAAAGCCTTGCTGTAGCTGAGCACACATCCTCACAAAGCTGCTGCCGTGGCTATAGACTAGCTTTATCACGTTTGAATAGATGTGGTTCTCCTGAAACTTTTAGTATCAACAGTTATCTCCTTAATTAGTTTATCAGTCTATGTTTGTTCCTCTCTCTTGCCATTCAGCCACCCAGTTATTTAATACTTCTCCCTCTCATCTGTGTGTAAACAGCAAATCATTTTCTAAATTACAGTTTTCACTCGTACAGCCGTCTAGCTCCCCCGGGTACAAAAAAGTGAATCATGGGGGTCTCTACTTTTGCAGGAGGCTCGCCAGCTCAATTCATTCTCCCTGCAAATTGATTCTCTATGCGAATTCAATCTCCATGCAACTGCCTTGCTGTCGATTTATCATATATATTGTGTATTTGTATTCATCTGTGACCAGTTTATCTGTTCATTGCAGACAGACCCCCCCCCTTTCCTTTGATGGGAAATTTTGACAAAGATAGATTGGGCCATCTGTGAAACTATTGAAGTTCAATATACTCTGAGGCTTCCATTTGCTCTGAGGAATTTTAATTGCAGCAAAATAAACAGAGGTTGGGGTCGGAATCTAAATTTGCTGCTTGTTTATGAGATGCGGGCGCGTCGACGTCTCAAACGCGTACAGGTGCACACGCATCAGTGCGCACACCGAGATCTGCGCAGCGTTTGTGAAATCTAAATGTCGATGAACAAACAGTCACCTAATGACTGGTTACACTTCTGTTATGCACGGTTGCATGAGCAATCCCACAGACATACAAAGACACAGTCAGTTGTGGATTTATAATAGGGTGGAGCTGGTGACAGATAGCACTGTCCCTATAGTGGTGAGTCATATTCTGTCCCTCTTAAATCTTCGTCCAATGTGTCTGGAACCTATTACTACTGGGAAACCCTTTGGCAAAAAAATCGCTTTGACAGTATGTGTGTGGAAGTTCATGTATATTGGATGGCGGGAACAGGTAGAGAGCAAAAGGAGCAAGAAATAACTCTCAACTTTGTACAAGTTCTGAAAAGAAAAGTCATATGATACACAAAGATGAGTTGTGAAGCAAGTACTGAACTACCGTGGCTCAGGGGGTTGGGAAGCGTATCTGTAACTGGAAGGTCGCCGGTTCGATCCCCGGGCTCTCTGTCCTGGTCGTTGTGTCCTTGGGCAAGACACTTTACCCTACCGCCTACTGGTGTTGGCCAGAGGGGCCGATGGCGATATGGCAGCCTCGCCTCTGTCAGTCTGCCCCAGGGCAGCTGTGGCTACAACCGTAGCTTGCCTCCACCAGTGGTGAGAGTGAATGAATAGTGGCATTGTAAAGCGCTTTGGGTGCCTTGAAAAGCGCTATATAAATCCAATCCATTATTATTATTATTATTAAAATCAAGCAACGACAAGGTATAAATCAAACGGGCACATAAACAGAATAATGTAGTGAGGGTGAATCCACTTTCTGTGAGTGCATAAGTGGAGAGAAGTGTGTTCACGTTAAATCAAACACTCGTGAATGTGAGAGAGGTAAATCACAATCAAGTATTATCAGTTCACGTCAATACCATTGAAATTCATGAGGTAATTAGACTGAAATGCAGCTTTAATGTAACTGCTCCATAACTTAGTTCCTTAGTTTAAAGTGTTTTAACGTCTAGGTCTGGATTTTTAGTCTCTTGATTGTAGTATTACTTCCCAGTACTTATTAGTTTTGATATCTATGTTTCTACTTTTTCATAGCCAGGCTGTCCTAGTCCCATGTCTGTTTTGTCCTTGGTGTGTCATATGTGAAGTTCACCTTTCTGTCTGCCATCTGTTTAGTTACTTCCTGTCTTGCTTTGGTGGTCT